GGAGCTACTTCCAGTCTGCTATATGGGTGGCAGGGGCCTGAACATGTGGGTCCTCTTCAGCTAAAGATGAACGGTGGCCTGCGACATGGAATGACAGCTGAAGTTCACATACATGCTAAGCCAACGAAGTCAGTTTCAAAAGGATGCATACCGTGTCACTCCATTGAAGTAAAGCTCAAAATCGGCAAAAGAAACTGATGATGCTAGAATGATATTTATCCCCAGTCACTGGAAATAAAGAGAGAGGAGATTTGGGGAATGTAGAAGAGTTGTTTCTGTCTTCAAACAAAAAAAAAAAAAAAGAAAGAAAGAAAGAAAGAAAATATTTAATCAAAAGGCAGAATGAGAGGGAGAGATCTTGTATCTGCTGGTTTGCTTCGGAGATGTGCATGAACAGTGGCCCTGAAGACTGACACACAGCCTTAAACCCGGCACCACCCTAAATTCCTGCTTCCCTAGGTCTCAACCTCCTTAGGGCCTCACTTGTGTAAATTTTGTGCCCTTTTGGTTTGAACTGCGTTCTCCACCAATCCCTGTACTTTCTGACTCCCCACTCCACTGATCCTCGGAGGCATTTACTCCTGGTGTCCACTTTCAGCTGCTTCTGCCAGTCCCTGACCGCCCTCACCCCATGCCCACCTCTGGGATATATAGGGGCCTTTCCCCTTGGTTCTCCTCTGCTCCACACTGTCTCTGCACTCTGCTCTGCTCTTTGCTCCCTCACCTCCTTTGTTTTTTCTCTCTTCCCCTCTCTGCACTCTTTCTGCTCCTACTTTTCTCTGCCCCATGGCTGCACTTCTTGCTGACATAAAGATCATCTCCTGTGGCTCGTTTGAAGTGCTTGGTGTCCTGGGTTTGTGGAGAAGAAAAGCTAACAGCTGTCATGACCAATGCTGAAGGCCAGGCTGGAGCTTCCTCCTTGTCTCCCACGTAGGTTGCAGGGGTCATTGCTGTTTTGTTCAGGAGCATTAGCAAGGGGCTGGGTTGGAAACGGAGCAGCAGAGAAACTGGCATTGAAGCAGCGGCTGAGGCCTCTAGGCCGCAATGCCAACCTTTGAATACTTTCTCTAAGTCGCCTCATTTCATCCTCCACTCCCCACCCCCACCTGCCAGAAGAGATTTTCTCCCTTTGGAGAGGAACTGAGACTCACAGAGGTTGAATGTCTGTTCCAGGTCACACCGCTTCTACACAGAGCATGAAACCCGCTTTCTCCCCGCCACATCTAGTGCTCCCTTAGGATTTGGACTCTTCTGGCTGCCAATCCCACATGTGGTCTCAGAACTAACCAGGCCCAGGTGTAGAGAAAGTCTTTTGGGCTTTTTATTCAGTGAACAAGTTAGCATTGCCTAAAGATTTACTCATTGCTATTAGAAAGGCAGACTCATAGCAAGAAGGGGAGACAGATCTTCCATCCACTGGTTCACTCCCCCAAAGTGGCCTGCAACAGCTGAAGCTGAGCTGATCCGAAGCCAGGAGCCTCCTCCAGGTCTCCCACACAGGTGCAGGGTCTCAAGTCTTTGTGCCATCCTTGACTGCCTTCCCAGGGCACGAGCAGGCAGCTGGATGGGAAGTGGAGCAGCTGGGACATGAACCAGTGGCCATATGGGATCCCAGCACTTGCAATGGGAGAATTAGCCAATTGAGTTATCCCCCCCACCCCCCCGCCCCGCCAAGTCAGGATTAAAGTTCCTTTTTAAAGGAACTTTAAAAGGAAACCAAACAAAACACACACATACACTATCCCCCACCCCCCCAGTCTAAAACAGTTAAAGTCCCCTGTGAGTGTTCCTTCCTCCTCTCTAAAACCAACAGGCGACACTAGACGGGCTCAGAGATCCTGATCAGGCCCATCCACCGCCTGATGATTTCCCTGGTGGATTTCTCAGAGAGTGGGCGGCTGAACTTACTGGGGAGGCCAGTATCCCAGGGACCCAGGCCATTGCCAGTTCAGGACATGATGTCACTGCAGGCTGACCTGCCCCAGCCCCACCCTCTCTGACTTGTCCAAAGGAAGAAAGGGAACACTCCCCTGGACCCTCCAATAACCTGCCCAGCCAGGCATGGGCTGCAGCCAGGCAGCCAGACCCAGTTGGAGGGATCCTGGCCCCCCTCGTGGCCTCGGTTTATGCATCCTCCCTTCCATGCGGCACCTCCTTTGGCCTCTCAGGCCCTGCCATCCCCTCCTGCTTCTACCAGTGGGACCCTCTGGGAAGCCCAGCTGAACTCTGCCAGAGGAAATGGAGAAGCACAGTGTCATAGGTTCCAGCTGTAGCCGCACAGCCGCTGCCGCTGCAGCCACTGCAGTCACTTCCCTTCCCCCATCCTCCCCGGCTGGCTGGGTCGTGTTGCTGAGTTATCCTTATAAGGGAAGGGCCCCTGCTGAGCCTCTCCCTGAGGCTAGGGCTAGCTGGCAGGGAGCAGGCCAGGGCCTCAGGGAGTCTTCTCAGCACCTGGGTGACAGGCAGGTGGATGTACCCTAGGTCCCCTGAGCTGAACATCCACCTAAAGTCACAGACCCTGCAAATAGCAGGAAGCACTCAGTCACAGCCCCAGCCAGCACTTCAGGGTATCCAAATTCTGACACTAACTTTCAGTCCCCCACCTTGCCCTGCCTGGGGACAATTTGCTTAAGTCTCAGTTTCCCAAGTGAGGCCACTGTGCTGACAATGAGAGATCCATGGGCAGAAAGCCAAGTTCTTTGAGCCTTTCCTATGAGGCAGGCCATGGGCTAAGTGCTCCGGGGCAACCCTATGAGGGAGAGCGGAAATAGTCCATTTCACAGACAGGGAAAAGAGAGGCCCAGTGCACCTGAGGCTATGCAGGTTGTGCATGACTCCAAGTCTAACATCATGTTTCCATTTCCTGCAGGAATATTTTTGAAAGAATTTTTAGGACAGCAGAGAGGAATGTCTGCCCTCCACCCTTCCGGGTCACTCAACCTGACAGCCCCGTTTGTCAGGGGTAGGGAAGACAGCAGACGGGACTTAAAGGAGGCACAAAGCCAGAGGCTCCAGACACATAGGACACAGGATGCCGCCAAGGGCCCAGCCTTGGGTGAGGACAGAGAAAGGGGTCACAGTCAGTCTCTCCCCACCAGGTCCTCTCTGTGGGTCCTGGGGCTGGTCTAAAGACAGCCACTGTGTGGTTTGCAAAACTCTTGTTCTGCAACCACCCACAAGAGTCTAGGCCCCTGAGCTGGTGCAGCCTGGGCTCCAAAGGCAGGCAGAGGGAAAGCGCCTTCTCACCACATCCTTCCTCGGCCCAGTGCTGGCCACCAACACCCTCCCCTTCTCTGCCACTGTTCCCTTCCACTGTTCCACACCTCTCTGTGACCTGCATAGGAGGAGGTGGGAGGGCCAAGGGGGTGATGGGATTCCCCTGAGGACCGCCCCCATCGGGTTCTGGCAGGCCACTGGCATGGGGTCACAGCCGAGCCAGCAGGGGAATTCTGGAGGGAGGCAAGGGTCGCAGCCACAGCTGGTCGGCCCGGGGTCAGGTGCTTCCTGTTATGTTGACCGCCAGGTCTGACCAGCAACTCTTGCAGAGGAGAAGGAAGGGAGTCAGCCCTGAGTGGGAGCACAAGGACACTGGGATTCCATTTCTCCTATGGGTGAGAAGACTGAGGCACCCGAGGTTAAGACTCACCCAGAATCTTAAGATGTGCCCATGAAGCCCTGAGGAACTGCTGAGCTACACGGGGTGGGGGAGGGGAGAGACACAGGCAGGGCCCAGCCTGAATGTAAAACACCAACTGGAATCATCATTTTGGACCCTTTTGGAACTATTACAGGAAGCACCATTTCAGCAAGCACGACCAAAGGACACCTACACTTGGGGAGTGTGTGGCGATTTGCCACGTTTATGCACAGCCCTAAGATGTCTCCCGCGAATCGTTTATGAGTTCCAAGACAAGAAAATAGTACAGACATAGTCAGACATCACCCCAAGTGATCAAAGTGAACATTCCCAGGTGCGCACGCTGTCCCCAGAAGTGATACGGAGAAGCCAGGATTCCCACCTCAGCATGAGAAAACCTCAGGCAACCTTCAGGTGAGGAAGGGCAAGTGGGGCAGTGAGCCCTGTGTCCTCCATACATGTGTCAGGGTGGGGATCTGGAGCAGTGGCTTCAAACACCACTTGGGAAACCATATCCCATATTGGAGTGCCTGGTTTGAGTCCCAAGTTACCCAGCTTTCCAGCTAACGTGCACCCCGAGAGGCAGTAAGTGATGGCTCATAGAGCTTGGGTTCTTGCCACTCACATGGGAGACCTGGACTGCATTCCAGGCTCTCAGCTTCAGCCTGGCTTAGTCTACCCTAGCCCTGGCCGTTAGCTTGATTTGGGAAATAAATCAGCAGATGGAAAATTTCTTTTTCTACATCTCAAATAAAATAAAAACAAATAAAAGCAACTTTTAAAAAAGTGTCATGAAAGAGACTGTGCAAAGGTTGCAGACTAGAGACTAAACAAGGATGACAGTTGTGTGGGATTCCTGAGGAGGGTGGGGGGGAGGATGGAATGGGGTCAGATGGCAACACTGGAATAAAAACAATACACGGTTTGTATCGGTGTGAACTGTACTAATATGGCTGAATGCATCACGGTTCTAGGAGAGAACACGCCTTCTTTTTAGGAAATGACACCCTGAAGTATTTAGGGATCAAGGACCATGATAACTAACTTTCCAGTGATTCAGGAAAAAACTATGTGCACATGTAAAGGAGAGGAAATGCCCGGCAGAGCAAACCAATACTGTGTTCTTTGTGCTACTCCAATTCCTGAGACTTCACTCTAAGTTTACAATTACTTCCAAATAAAACATTTAGAAAAACTGTCGAAAGCACCATTCTCTTTGACCCTGGCCCCAGCCTGTGGAAACAAGCAGAGGGAGGGAACTGGCCATGAAACCCAGCTCAGTCTGGCTGGCTGCATTTAGCCGCCTTACCCTTTGCTTCCTAGAGCTGACCCCCACTCCACAGACAGGCCTGGGGCAGAGGAGTTCCATAAAAAGAGATTTATTGCCAAACTTCAAGACAGGTTTGAGGCAGAAGACACTGGGTACCGCCCTCCTCCCTGGACAGCTCCCCTATAGATTCCTGCTCCTCCTCCCCCGCCCCAGGGCCCAGGCTGCCCAGTTCATAGGAACCAGGCAGTGTCGCCCACTAGTCACCTGACACAGGAGGAAACGCGGCCTCCACGTCCTGGAAGCAGGTGGCCTGGCTAAAGCTTCATCCAGCCTGGCTGCTCCCCATGGGGACAAGGCAATCACGTGACTGTGGGCACTTGATCAGTGCTAGAGACAGTAGAGAAGGGCGCAGACAGTGGAATGGAAACCACTTGGTCCAAGGACGGCTTGCTTCGACCCTGCCAAGGAGGGCCACAGGGTGGATTGTCTGTACCTCTTGATTGCTGCCCAATACCCCCAAGAACAAAGTGACAGATCAGCAACAAAGGCGCAGGCCTGCATGGGTGGGCCCCAGTGGGCACAAATGGTAGCCAGGGGAGGGCAGGCAGGCGGCAGTGGGCAGAAAGACCAGGGCATGGTTGCTGCGACCCTCCCTTCCCTTTCCGTAAACAAAAGTGCACAAGCAGGAATCTCCTGTCGGAAGCTGCTCCCGCTCACTCCTCCACCCTGCCTCCACATCCCGAGCAGAATGGCAAGGCCTGGGGAACCAGGCACAGCCCCTCAGACCTACAGGACCTCTGCACCTACAAGCTCTGCCCTCGGACCGGCCGTGACAGCAGAATGAAGATGGGACATGGTCCTGCAGCACAGGTAGAGGGGGGATAATACGGAGCAGGGAGGAGCTGGGGGAGGAGCAGGTATCCAGAAGGACCAGGAAGGAAAGGAGAAAATACCTCTTCTGCCAAGGAGTAGCCCACGTGGTGCGGGAAGGGTGAACGGGATGTGGTTTCCTGCTCCAATGTGCTTATATCATTATGTGAAGAAACTACCAGGATCCTGGACCTGTTCAGGCTGAGGAGGTGCTTTGGGGACTCAAACAAATCCACCTGAGGGCAGACTCCTCGTGGCCACCTACCGGTTTTACTGAGGTTGGGCCACGCTAGGGCTCATTTGCAGGAATGTGCAAGGCTGCTACAAGCTGGGCCCAAGGCACAAATGAGACTAAGGGATGTTTCCGGGTGTGAGAGACTGCAGGGAAAACCCTTGCTTTGCAGAGAAGACCACAGGCTCAGAGAGGGATGAACCAACAAAGCCCAAGGCCGCCGTGGCTTCTCAGAACAGGGCCAGTTTCAAGGAACATCAACTACTGGGGCCGAGGCAAGGAGATGACACGACACCCAGGAACCCCTAACACTGTGCCCAAGGCCTAGGACAGGGCAGCCACACAGAGCTCAAAGGTTGGATGGCCAGAATGAGGCCCCCACCTCAGGTGGTGCCTGGCACCAGCGGCCAGGACAGTAAGAACATGAGGAGTCTCTTCCACCTGGCCTGAGGGCCCCTTGGCAGCCTAAGCAAAAGCCCATTCCCAGCAGGGCTGGGCCCAAATGGATGGAACAGGGCAGTTGGCAGGCCCTAAGGTGCACTTCTCCTGTAGAGGGTCACCAGCTCCTTCCGTTTCTCTTTCAGTCCTGCTGCTGGGGCCTCTTGGCCCAGTGCCCCCAAATCTCGCATCTCTTGCAGGACCTGGGTGGCCTGCCTCAGCTGCTCCACAGCCTGGCTGAGCAAGGCCTCGGCACTCGGGGGCGTCGGCTCGCTGCTCAGCATTTTGTTCAGCAGTTTCTCTGTCTCTTCTGAGGCCACCTTCACCTCCAGCTGGGCCCGGTACAGCCGCTCCCCAGGTTGCCTTGGACGCTGTGGGCCATCCCCGAGCAGGTCGCCGAGAGATGAGCAGCGCAGATGGGACTGAGGTGGTAGGTCCCAGGGGTGCGGTGCCGTGGATGCTGCTGTACCCTTTTGGAGAGTTCCGGTGGTGCTCAGGGCCTGGGAGGGGCTGGTAGGTTCAGGACCATCATCCACACCATTCACAGAGATCTTCTCTGGGCCCAAGGCAGGAGTCCCAGGACTGTGAACTGGCCCAGAAGCTGGGGACCTACTCATGCAGGCTTTCAGTTTCTCCGAAAGATTCTTGGGTGGGGGTGCTGGGGGTTCCCCACGCTCCTTGGGAAGGGCCTCAGAGGTTTCAGAGCAGGGCCCCTGGGCTGTCTGTGCACTCTCTGGGGTGGAGGGCTGCTCGGGGCTAGGGTTCTCCCAGCTCACAGTCAGTTTGTCAGGCAAGACGCTGCTGAGCAGCTGCTTAGGGCCTTCATCTTCAGATTTTGGGGTCTCTGGGTCCTGCTGGCTCTCAGGCTTGAACTCGGTGCTGGCTAAATTGGGGGTGGGGGCTCTCTCTGAGGCAGAAATCTCCACCGCATCCTCGAGGCTGCTGGTCTCGGGTGCTGAGGAAGGCTTGGTGGGAGGCATGGGGGGCCGGGGTTTCTCCCGGGGCTGGGTCGTGCTGACATCATTGCTTGGGGCAAATCCCGTAGGCCTGCTGTCCGGAACATCGAGGTCCAGGCGCAAAAGCCCATCAGAAGCTGCACTGGCGACCTAGGGGTGGGGACAGTGAGTGGGCACCACCTTCCTCAAGGAAGTGTCTCCCAGCCCTCCCATAGGTGTCCCAGCCCCAGCCCCACACCCTCTGCTTCTGCTTCCAAGGCTTAGTGATTAGAAGCTAAAATTATTTCCCCATAAATCCTCTCTTCTCTCCGAAGAATTCTCTGTTTGGGATGCACTGGGCAGGTAGGTGGTGCCAGGGTGTCCTCTCTCAGAGGCCTAGCCTGGTACCTGCCAGCCAGCATGACACCTCTAGTGGCAGGGGATGATCCTCTGCTGGGTCCCTTCTTTGCAGTCATTCTGCCCACCACCATGCCCAGCCAGCTGGTGAGGGACCAGGACTCAGTTATAGGACCCTCAATCACCTACACTCAGTCCCTTCTGCTCAGCCTTCCTGGAGACCCGTCCTATCTGCCAATGTAACTGCTCCCCGACCATCACCAACTGTCAGTGGAGAACATGGCACCAGCAAGCAGCTGCTTCCACCGGGCTCTGTGCAGCCAGCCCTGTGATCATGGAGACCCTCTCTCAGGGAGCCTCGGAGACCCTGCAGCAGAGCTGGGCAGCTGGGCAGCTGGCCTTTCCCCTGGTCTTTGAGATGGCAAGGGTCTTGGGTGGGACCTTGACTCCCCTTTAGGCCCATGTGTTCTGGCCCACACATGCTCTCAAGAACTGGGTACCACCACAGAGCCCCCCCCCCAGCACATGCACACACACATCTTCATACAAATACACACATATATGCACACAAATATATACATGCATAATCATCATGCAGACACTCATACATGCTCATGCTCGCACATACAAACATAAGTACACTCATGCAAGTTTATACAAAGCATACACTCACAAACTCACACATGTGTGTGCACATCACACATGTGTGCGTGCGCGCGCACACACACACACACACACACACACACACTGCTGTCTCCCTCCAAGGCTGCCATCTCTTGTCAGGCAGTCAGACCTCCCTCTTCTCTGGCTCCCTCAGCCACTCTGTGCAGGCTCCAGGAACAGGTTGCCATATCTCAGAAATATACTCTCCACTGCTCTGGGGTCTTCTTGCCCCATGCCTTCCCCCAGGGCACCCCCAACTCTGGACCCTACCTCAGCCTTAAGCTGACTTCAACTCTTAGAAAACAAGTTGCACTTGCAGTTAACTGCCTTTTCCAAAGCCCTGCACGGGGAATTTGCAGCTGCCAACTTGATTTATGACCTGCAAGTCCTGTACCTGTTTCTCTCTGAAGTGCCCTCTCTCCCTGGCTTCCTCTTCCGGAACTCCCCACTGGCTTCCTTCCAGCGCCCCCACCGCAGCACTTGCTGAGGCTCTTTTCTGGCCTCCAAAATCTCAGTTCTGTCATCAGGCCTCCTGTTCTTACCCCTTGCCCACATGGTCTCCCAAATTCTCTATTCCCAGGGCCTCCCGTTGTCTATTCCATAGACTTGAGAAGCTCCTGATGCATTTAACCAGCTGAGTGACTCCCTGGGGGGACCTCCCTTGCACTGCCTCCTGGAGCCGAGAAGGGCCACTTCTCCCCATTCCTTCATGGTCCTCCCACTAGGATGGGAGGCCCTTAACCCTGCCACTCCAGCCAGAGCCACAAACTGATCCCTGGAATGCACCAACCCCAGTTCCTATACCACAAACTTCCACAACATCCTATCCTCCACCCACAGCTCCCAAGCAGACTCTCGGGCCACACAGCCTACTGGGCACTCCTTGAGCTGTCTCAGCCTCCCATCATCCCACGCGGGAGTCCCCTCGCTCCCAGTGTGCCCCCTGAAGTCCTCCTGCCCTTCCAGGTCAGCCCAGATGCCCGTGGCTCCATGGTCCCTCCTGCCCTGGTAAGTCCTCCTCCATACAGAGATGCAGCACAGCATGGCCTGGAGCGGTCTGTGGGCAGGTCAATCAGCCAGCTGGAAGCTGAGCTCTGAAGGCCAGGGACCAGCCTTCTGGGCCTGCTTCCCTCTGGTACCAGCTCTGGCCAAGGGCAAAGCATCCAACACATGAGAAGGCTATGAGCTCAGGGACAGTGAAACCTGCACCTGCACTTCAAAAACATTATAGAAAATGCCTAATGTGAAAATAAGAGGGGGGAAAAAAAAAGAAAGCATGCATTTCAAAAAATGCTTGCAATAAAATAAGCTTTGATTTTTATTACATTTTCCATGAACTTTTTCATGTATCCTTGAAAAACATTTGTCTCCATCACACTTCCTAACTACCATTTAGAAAAACCCATCTCTGCATGGCCTCAGGAAAAAAAAAGTCGGGGGGTGGGTGGGGGAGGAGTCCCTGAGGCCAGTTGCCACCCTAAACAGCTGGGGTCCCTGGATGAACTAACCTCCCCCTATCCAAGCTGCATGGCCTCACCTCCTTTAGGTGGACTCTGGTTGGTGGCCGGCGCCTCTGGCCTCCTCGCACCCGGTCACGCGTCACATGTTCCAGGGCACAGCTCTTGTCTACTTTCACCTGGAAAGAGAGGGGCCAGGTCAGCACCCCCAGGCTTATGGGGGTAACACTCTGGCATTGAGCTGATACAGAAACAGGGTCATTGCCCCCACTGACTGCTGCAGTCTTCTGCATCCCCGCATGGTGCTCTGGGTCCCTATAGCCGCCCTGGTCACCTCAATTGGCCCACTAGCTTCCAATAGACCTGGGGACACTTTGGGGCTTAGCCATGGAAGGAAGGCAAGGCCATGAGCTTCTTCCTGGGACCTGGCCTCCTCTGCTACCCTTCTGTGTCCCCCTGGGACCATCCCAGGAAAAGGTAGCATCTGGCCCCTTGAACTTGGGCATTTGGTAGAATAAGTAGAAGGGGGCACGTATAACTGGGAATCCCTGGATGCTGAACCCTACAGGACCTATTTCCATGAGGCTGTGTATGATCGGGGGTAGGTAGTTCCAGGGAGACACATCATCTGTTCCTCAGAGAAGGAGTAGGACTCTATTTCTGTGCCTTCACCCAATCATGTCACATAGAAGGGGACATAGTGTTAGGAGTCAGTGTCCCTGGATATTCAGAGGGCACTTGCTGGGACACACTGGTTGTCCTTGGGTGTCAGCATTCTACAATGCTGCCCCCGGGGTCCACTTTAGCCCAAACAGCTAAAAGTCTAAGCAATTAAGGACAAAATCCCCCTAGAAGATCCTAATCTCATGAGACACCTGCCTGCCCTGAGCCTCTCTGACCATCACCATGGGCACCAGCACAATGACACCAGCTATGGTGGTATGGCAACACACCTCATCAAAAGCCTTGTTCTTGCCCCGGTTGATCCCTTCATTGAGGGCTTTGATCCAGGATTCCTTCTCCTCCCCACTGGGGGCCTGGAATTTGATGTCGCTGACCTGCAGGAGAACCAGGTAAGGTGGAAAGCAGATGTTTAACAGCACTGGAGATCTTACAAAGCTTCCCCCCCAAGATCCCAAAGTTCAATCAAAATGACACCCATCGTTCCTCCACCCTCCACACCAGGGACTGAAGACAAAGGAGAAAGACCTGGCACAGGGAGACCTCCCTTTGCAGCAGCTCGCAGTGGCTCAGAGTGAACTTGGCCCCACCCTGTAGGAAGGGCCCAGATCCAGGCTCACCCTCACCTCAGGTCAGCTGCCTCCCTTCTGGGAAGTTCCCGGCTGACTGCAGCACAAGGCTGAGTTTAACAACAGAGGTCACAGGCACCAGGAGTGTCCACTGGGGAGGCCCACAGGGACAAGCTCATACCTAGCCCTAAGCAAGGCTGGAAAATAGGCCTGGATGCCTAATGTTCCATCATCCCCTCTCTGGCCTTGATTCACGCACTGGGCTCAGCTGCAATCCACCCCACCTTATATACAAAAATGGGAGGCTATTCGGTCAAGGTAGTCTAAGACAGAGCTTGCGACTCCTGACTCTCCACCCCTCCCACACCCACTCAGCTGGGGCTCTGAGCATGTGTGGGGGCCACCTGCAAGGCAGTCAGAGCAGTGAGGCCTCCACCTTGACCCGCTTAGAGCCAGGAAGATCATTTAAAAAAATAAATAAGCCTCTCACTCTTACAATCACCCTCACAGTGGCAATATTCACAGCAGCTAAATGACCCAAGTGTCCATTTATGGATGAACAGAGAAACAAGATGCAGACTCTCCATGTAACAGAGCCTAAAAAGGTTGGGAAATTCTGACCAATGTTACAACACAGACAAACTGAAAACAGCAGGCTGAGCAAAAAAAAAAAAGAACAAGCACAGAAAAATGAAGACCCTGTGATTCCACCTAGAGGTGGGACCTAGCAGTCAGAACTCACAGACTGGAAGCAGAACTGCTGGCTGCCATGGCCTCAGGGGAGAGGAAACGATGTATCATTTTTCAATGGGTACAGTTTCACTTTTATAAGACAGCAAGATCCGTGGAAATGGATGGTGGTACTAGTTGTACAGCCCTATGAAACAGCACTTAAAGACAATCACCATGGTGAATTTTATGCTACAAACATCTGCCTGTGATTTGTATTATTTATTTAATTCAAAGAGAGACAGACAGGCAGAGTTCCCATCTGCTGGTTTACTTCCAAAATGCCTGCAGCAGCCAAAACTGGGCCAGGCTGAGGCCAGGAGCTTGAACCTCTATGTGGATTTCCCATATGGACAGCAGGGACCCAACCCCTTGAACAATTACTGGCTGCACTCCCGGGGTGCGCATTAGCAAAAGAGCTAAGACTAGAAGCTAGGCAATCCTTGTAGGATGCAGGCACCTTGAACTGGTATCTTAACCACTAGGCCAAATATCTATTCCTGACCACAATTTGTAAAAATTGGGGTGAGGGCTGGTGTTGTGGTATAGCATGAAAAGCTGCCACCTGTAATGCAGGCATCCCATATGGGTGCTGGCTCTTCCACTTCCAATCACTTCCTTGGCTGTTCCACTTCCAATCAAACCCCTGCTAACGTGCCTGGGAAAAAACAATAGAGGACAGCTCAAGTGCTAGAGCTCTTGTCACCCACATGGGAGACCTGGAAGAAGCTTCTGGCTCCTGGCTTTAGCCTGGCCCAATCTTTGCCATTGTGGTCATCTGGGAAGTGAATCAAGAGATGAAAGATCTCATTCTCTCTGTGTGTATGTGTGTGTGTGTCTCCATCTCTTTTTGTAACTCTTTTGAATAAGTAAATAAAATCTTTAAAATATATACTTAAATCAATAATATGAAGTAAAAATTGGGGAAAACAATAAGGTGTCTAGAGTGCTGCGTGGAGCTGGGCAGAGTGACACTAAGGAACAGGAATCCCAGAAACTTGCCTTTATGAAAACTGGTAAATCCACCTCCTACAAAGCAAGGCTGGGGAAGCACAACCATGCAATCCAGGGCCTAGCACACAGTAGGCACTCAAGAAACAGTCACTGAATGAATGAGCCAATGAATGAATGAACTGGTTCCCAAGTTCCCTGCCCCCCTCTCCTCACTTTCTTTGGGCTGGCTGCCTACTCTCTGACCTCAACATGCCCTAGTTCTTTGTCGGTGGTGGCCAGCCTGCCCAGCCCCCAGGCTGGTGTTAGATGGCGCCTTGCTCCCGCCACTCTCCCGGTTATGTAACACCCCTGGGTCAGCCTGGCCCCCTCAGCATCTTCATTATATAACTTCCTCCTGGCTGCCAGCCTCCTCCTCCAGGGCCCAGGGTCCCACCCACTCCCCCAGGCCGGGCCACAGCCAAGTGTTCATTTGCATGACCAGGGTAAACTCAATCCTGGCTGCAGATCCACAGTGAAGTCAGGAAACTCCAGGGTGCCGTGGCAACTGCCTCTAGGACCAGCCATTGGACCCACTGGGGGCTCTCAGGGAGGGGCCACACCACATCTGGGGGCTACCAAGGCTACCCAGCCATGTGACATGGGTCACAGGGCTGGTCCCTCTGACCCCAGCTGCTGCTCCTGCTCCAGGCTTTTGGCTTGCTGGGGCGCCTGTGTGGGGAAGGAACTGACATCCCAGAGAGCTTGAGAAGTACTGAGCAAGCTCAAGAGGGCAGCTCCCAATGGTCAGATGCACCAGTTCTCCTGTGAAGCCTCAAAGGGACAAAAATAGGATTACTGGATCCAACTGACAAGACCTGTCCCTTCTCCACAAGCCCAGCCCACCTGAGGGCAGTAACTGGGAAGGTGTGGGCTCCCGAACACCTACCCTGCCCTAGAAGACATAGTGTATAGCAAAGAGTCCCGGCAAGAAGAAAGGCAAGGCTGTAAGGGACCCAGCTCTAGTTGAGGGTGCCCTGTCATCCTGGGTTGAAGGAGTCTGACATCCCCATGGATGCTCAGAATAGGAACAACTGGGACATCAACAAGTTGTGTCCCATAGGTCCACAGGCCTCACAGATCCCTTCTAAGAGCTCCAGGGACATAGGCCCTGCGAGGAGCTGAGAGGCTCACAGGACTGGCCACAGAGCGAGCCTGGGAAAGGGAGAAGGACAAGATGCCAGGGAGGAAAAGGGGGGAGGGGAAGGAGACAGGAAAGGGCCAAGCTGGCCAAGACCAGCAGGACAGCAGGGCCCAGCAGCGGCCACCCTGCTTCCTGGCAGCGTCTGCCTGTGACCTCATGGCCAGGGGTGTGGGGATGGAGAGGCAGGGGGAGGAGGCAGGCAAGACACTGGAGTCTTTGTTTATTTGATTAGAAGTGGGGAGGAAAAAAAAGGCAGCCTTAGGAGCAGACAGTCAAGGTCACATGACCTCCACACTGGCCTGCCTCACTGAAGATGGGGAACACCCAGGCCGATGGGAAAGGCAGAGGACAGCAAGAGGCAGTGGGGGACGTGGGTCCCTGGGCCTGGTCCACATCTCCCTTCTGGGCCTCTCTCTTCCTGTGTGAGCTTCTGGGACTGTAACGGACAGACACCCAGCACCAGGGTCAGCTGTTCCACCGGAGGTCCCTACTACCTGCCTCCAGCCTCACTTCCCCACTGGTTGCTCCCAGCATCACCCCAGAGCCAGCCTGGACTCTCAGGAGAGTTAGGGGAAGGGGAGAGTGCTGGCTGACACTGCTGACAAGGAGCTGTTCCACCCTAGGCTGGCTCGGGCCACCTCCCCACCACCAGCTGATTCTCAGAGCGAGGGAAAGAGGTAATCATGCAGCAGCAAGGGCACCACTTACACACCCTGAGAGCCACACGCCCAGCCAGGCCCCGGCACCTGCACAGGCAGTACATACACAAGAGCCAGACCCCTGCGTAGAATCTCTCTCCCAAACACACATTCACACACTCAGCTTGCACTCAGAAAAGAAACAAGTCTCTGGGACCAGTTAGGGGCTCCAAGGCCTAGAAAATCAAATGGGGACCTGCCACAGCAGATCACAAGCAAAGCCTAGACCCCTGTTGGACCCTGGGACACATCCTCCAGCTCCCCATCACTGGCCTGGTACCTTGCTGGTCTCAACACACTGCAGAGCAGGACACAGGGTTCAAAACATTACAGTCTCTGTCATGCCGCCATCTTTTGGGGCCACATACTTACCTGGCGGAGATGGTGGCGCCTTAAAAAAAACAATTAGGATCTCCAGGGCCCAGGAGCACAGGGACTACAGGACACTGAGGTCCTAGCTGTTAAAGCTGGGGAGAAGCGGAACAGCCTCCAACAGGCCCAGACCAGACCTGTTTCCCAGCCCCCAGCCTCTGTGACTCAGCCCCGCTCTGCTACGCTGCACATGACAGGCAGCGCTTGGGGTGAGGTGTGGCGACAGCTGGCGCGAGGTGCTATAGCCACTGGCCTCCAACCTGAAAGCCTTCTTGACATTTGTGAAGGCAACCGTGTGGTGACACCTACCAGACCCTGACCCAAGAAAGGCTGCACCTACTCATGAAGCCGGGCCTGAGGAAGATTCTCCCAACCTGGCTATGGCCACAAAAGAAAAATGCAAGGAGAGGGAAGTTGGGGTGCGCTTCCTAATGCTGAGCCCAGGGCAAAGGCAAACAGAGGCAGTCCATCCGGAAGGCTTGGGGTGGGAGAGGCCGCATCTTTCTCCTTTGGCCTAGACTCCATCAGACTGTCAGGAGCTGAGGAGGTGGAAACCACACACACATCTTTGTTAGCTTCAGTCCTGAGCCTCCTGCATCTGGGATGTGGGGAAGGCTAAAGGCCCAACTTCCCAAAGGCTATTGTCCAACCACAGCCCCAGAGGGGAGGGCCACATCTGGAAGGGAAAGGAGACAGGAACCCTCTTCTCACTCCCCACCAGCCAGTTCCTGGTGGAGTTTGGCAGAGGGATGTTTCCAAGGCAAAATGAATGAAAGGTCCGCCCTATGGCAACCACCCAGCCTCAGCTGCACTCCAACAGGCAGGTCCAGGGGTGTGACCTGGCTCTGCCTTCTGCGGGTAGGGTCATCTTCGCAAGGGGCCCAAGGCCTACAGAAAGGTCAGGCAGCAGCAGCAGGCACCTGCCTACCTTGTTCCCTGGCGATCGTAGCAGGATGAAGCGGTGCTTCCGCTTGAGAAGGGCACGGAGGTCCTGGCATTTCTCATAGCTGCCCAGCTCCACCGTCTCCACACACTTCTGCTCGTCCTGGGGAACAAGAGACAGGAAGGACTTGAACCAGTCACAACCAGACCCATCCAGACCCTTGAGCCCAGACCTGGATCCCATTTGGTGAGGACCTCTCAGTCAGAGGGAAGACCCCAGACTACCGATCCAGCAGCAAGAGGTTATATTCAGAGGCTGGAAGTGCAGAGTGTCCAGGAGGTACCCAGTGGAGGGCAGCCTGCAAGACTCCAGATGAGGCACCTGGCCTACCCAGTGGTCAGGACAGAACACAGCTTCCTCCCAGCCCTGAACCCTAGGCTCTGCCAAGCAGGGGCCTCTTCTGAAGCTGGCCGGGATGATGGTAGCCCACTGGGTCCTCTTCAGGGGAAATCTACAGGAGCGGGAACAACTTCCTGGCGTGGCTCAGACTTATCCATCCTGGGCAATGGGAGTGCAAGGAAGTGAAAACAGTAACAGCCCTGGAGACTGGTTAGCAGGTGTCCCACAGCAAGCAACCTATTGCTTGGATGGTCTTGATTTCTCCTGGAGAGCCTAGACCCTCAACCTCTACCTCCTTTTCTGGACAGAGAGAATGGGGTTCCTGGTGACGTGATCTGCTCTAGGGGCACAGACCTCAAGACAAGGGCCAGAGCCCAATTGATACTATCACCCACTGACTCCATGTGCTGGGCCCCTGCCCAGCCCATCACAGACACCCTCATCACGGGCTTGAGCACTGACTCCTCCACAGCTTGCTCTGTGCAGCCGTAGTCAGCAGCCAGCAGCACTAACAACAGCTGAGAAACCTGTTAACGACTGCAAATTCTTAGGGACGCAGCCGTAGTGTAGCAAGGTAAAGCCACTGCTTCAGATGACAGCATCCAATATGGGTGCTAGTTTATGTCCCAGCTGCTTCATTTCCAATCCAGCTTCCTGCTAACAGCCTGGGAAAAGCAATGGAAGAAGGAACAAGTGCTTGCATCCCTACCACCCATGTGGGAGACCCAGATGAAGCTCCTGGCTTCTGGCTTCAGCCTGGCCTAAGCCCTGAGCTGTTGCAGCCATTGGGGGGGGGGGTGAACCAGCAAATGGAAGCTCTTTATGTGTCTTTCTGTCTCTCTACAATTCTAACTTCCAAAGAAATAAATCTTAAAGTAATCGGAATCCCTGTGCCCAGCACGGTGGCCTAGCAGCTAAAGTTTTTACATTGAACGTGCCAAGATCCCATATGGGTGCTGGTTCTAATCCCAGCAGTTCCGATTACCATCCAGCTCCCTGCTTGTGGCCTGGGAAAGCAGTCAAGGACAGCTCGAAGCCTTAGGATCCTGCACCCATGGAGGAAGTTCCTGACTCCTGGCTTCAGATTGGCTCAGCACCAGCCATTGTGGTCACTTCGGGAGTGAATCATTAAACAGAATATCTTCCTCTCTGTCTCTCCTCCTCTCTGTATATATCTGACTTTCCAATAAAAATAAATAACTCTTAAAAAAAAAAAACAACTCCAAGACCTGGGCCCGGCATGGTAACCTAGTAGCAAAAGTCCTCACCTTGCATGCACACCACGATTTCATATGGGAGCCAGTTTTAATCCCAGCATCCAGCTCCCTGCTTGAGGCCTGGCAAAGCAGTCAAGGATGAGCCTTGGGACCCTACACCTGCATGGGAGACCTAGAAGAGGCTCCAGGTTCCTGGCTTCTGATCACCTCAGCTCCAACTGTTGCAGCCACTTGGGGAATCAATGGACAGAAGATCTTCCTCGTTCTCTCTCCTCTCTGTATATGTAACTTTCCAATAAATAAAAAAATTCCCCCCCAAAAAAAGCAAGATTTGAGCCCTGCATGTTGGTTCAATGGTTAAATCTTCTCTTTGAAGTGCTATAAATCTGTTCTGCCTCTCCAATAAAAATAAATAAATCTTAAAACAAATAAGGAAAAAAAAAAAAAACAAAAGCCTAGGCAACTTCAACTTCAACACCCATTACATCAGGCTCTCTAGAGTGGGAGGCCGATACTTTGTGGCCAAGGTGGGTAACCCCTGACGGACACTAGCCCCCGGTACAAAGGGCTCCGAAAACCAAAGCAGGCTCAGGTCTCCCATCCAGGTTCAATCACATATCTTTTCAACCATTTTCACTTGTACGTGTCTTTTTCCAACCTTTAGCCTTCCAGCCCCTCTGGGTTCCTCCATTCAACACAACGGCTAGGAAAACCCATCCGTAGTAGGAAACTTTCCTGCATTCTGTGCCTGGACACTCTAACTTCTTCAGGCCCCCACTGTTCCCTGCTGGGGACAGACAAAAACTTCTAGAACACCTGCAGGATATAGACACCCACCAGGGTGCCAAGGGACACAGCCTGCGGGAAAAGCGCATCTCTCTCCACACACACACACACACACACACACACACACACACACACACAGTGAGAGCATCCAGGGCAGGTAGCTCACCTGCGTCAGGTCCATGGCCTACCCAACTAAACCAGCACTGGCCCCAGGGCACCACAGCCTGCCTAGCTCCCCATAGCTGCAGATCCCGGGTCATCATCTGCCGCCCCCCTAACTCTACCCGAAACGCTGAATCATCCTGGCGCTCCGGTAGTTCAGAGGCTGAGCCGGGGAAACATCTTGGGAACATCACAGTCCAGAACCTTCTCTCACTCACTCCGTACAGCAGAAAGAATTGTGCTAACAGAGGTTGCTCAACTCCGACTCCAGCCAGGCGCCCCACCACTGACAGCTGAGTTCTTGAAATGGCATTTAGGTTTCTCAGGATGACCTCTTTTTGTTTTTTTTGTCTTCTCAAGCCTGATCTGGACACACTGCTGCTTCCCAGCAGCAGCCAGATGTGGTGAGGCAGTCCAGCACACATCGGGCAGAGCCTGGCGAGCTGAAAGCTGATGGCCTGTCACTCAACTCTTGTGGCAGCTGGCACTGGGGGAAGCTGTGACAACCCCCCTTTATTGATAAAAATATCCTCCTCCTGCCACGTTTGCAGCTGTGGCATATCCTAATTTGGCCAGAGCAGCAGGATGAAGCATCTGGGGATAGTCTGTCTCCCCCACCCACATCCCTGGTACTCCTGCCATCGTTTCTCTGACCCCCCCCCCCAACTTGACAAGTTCCCCAAATCTAGCAGGAAAGATCAAGGTGCTTCAGAAAGGCAGCTCGGAATCTTTCCAAACTGCCCAATCTTTTTTGGCCTGGGACTACACTGTCCTGGCCAAGATGCCCTGAAGCAGGAGGAAGAGGCTGGCTCCTCCTCCTGCCCCTTCCTCTCCCCGGGACCAGCTCTTCCTCATACATTTCATCTGTCAAAGGCACAGAGTGACACAGTCCCCAAGCCCATAACAAACAGCATCCTCAAGGAGAAGCTACTTTTGTGCCTAAGCCCTCGCCTGGAATGTTACTCTCTCTTAGATGCAATGCAAGTGGGCCTGGTTGTCAAATGCCAAGTCTGCTGACACCAGAAGGCGCTCAAGACCTGATGTGAGAAGAGACCAGTAATATATGGAGGCCCAAGGGTAGAAGTGCCCGCTGGGAGTTAGATGTAAATGGACTGAGAACAGGGGAAAGGTCAGTCTGGTGGGACAGGACAGCCTGACAAGTGACTCGGAGCCACCAGGGCAAAGTCCATTCAGGCTAAAATCCTCTGTCGAAGACGGCAGAGAGCATTTGACATATTTGAGCATTTCCACCAAAAACGTATCTTGCTTGGCCTGACTCCCCCGCTTGATGTAAGATGCTGAACAATTACTGGCCGTTGGGAACTTCAGCATCCTCTTGGGTAAGATACAGCATGTCATCCACTCTTGTGTGATCCCTGCCAATGCCTTAAGCAAGGGATGTAAGAGTTGCCAACAAGTGTGAGTCCCAACTGCTGCTCCTAACGCTAGGGCAACACAGAGCAGGCTTCAGCCCTGGACATCAGTCGCAGGGCACCTTGCTCTAGGACAAGAAGTTAACAGAGGATGGGTAGACAACTAATGAGACACAAACCAGATGCACATCTAGTTCAATGGTTTAGTGAACTGCGTTCCCACCCTAGGGCACAGAGATCCACAGGTTAGGCCCTGGTGCAAGGGGCACAGAGCGTACCAAGTGGATCAGGTCTTCAATCCCAGGCTGACTCCTCCTGCTGACCTAGGCTGTCCTCATCTTTGTCCGTTTGCCCCCTTAACATCTCAAACTCACAGCCAAGCAGGTGCTCACCTCATTCTCATAGACCAGCAGCTGGGCCTGGCAGAGAAGCAGGTAGCGGTCTTTCCAGAGCCCCAGGAGGCCTCCGCTGCTCTTCTTGATCCAACCAGCCTTGTCCGCAGTCCGTGTACTCTGAGGCTTCTCGCCCCCATCCTTCGTGCCCTGGAAAACAGTACCAGGACATGCTAGGAGAACTGCTACCACGTGGCTACACGGTTCATGTGCTATACAAGGGATGTGGCCATAGGACAAGCACCTAATGACATCATGGTTTATGAGCGTCCCCACAATCCCCAAGGCAGATTTTGCTAATCCTATGTCAGAAATAATGACAGTACCAACAGCAGCTGTAGTGATAACAGCAGCAGGCACCTTGCACTGAGTCACTGTATGACATTTTTGCACAAGCAGTCTTGTTTTTTAAAAGTTGTATCTATTCAGGAGGCAGAAAGACACACAAACAGATGAACAGAGAGATGGCTCCACGAGCTGCTTCACTCCCCTGAAATGCCTGCCACAGCCAGGGCTGGGCCAGGTTGAGGCCCAGAGTCAAGAATTACAGTACCAATTATCCCACTTGGGTGGCAGGGACACAAGTACTTGAGTCATCACCACTGCCTCCCAGGGTGCACACTAGCAGGAAGTTGCAATCTGGAGCTGGATCTGGAATTCAAACCTAGGCACTAGCTCTGGAATGCGGTAACATAACCAGGGCCTTAACCATCAGGCCAAAAACCACCTTCCATCATCTCATTTAAACTGTTGTAACCACCTCCAAGGTAGCAAGGTTGTCACCCACATGCCATGGCAAAGTGAGATGGCTCAGAATGGAGAACCGATGGGCTGAAGGGACAGAGTCCTGATTCAGCACAGATCTCCACCCCTGCATTTTCCCGCTCCACCCTACGGTCAGCGAGGGGACTGGGCACTTGTAATGTGGTGGAAAAATAAAATCACACAGCCCTTGCCCTCGTGGTGGGGAGAGGGAGGAGGTGAACACACAGACACGTGCACACGTGACCCAGTGGGCAGTGCTGCGGAGGACACAATCAGGGAGCAGAGAGGAGCCCTGCAGACCCTGTCTTGTTCCCATCCAAGACCCACGACCTGCCTGGGTTCCTGGGTAGCAGGTACCTGCCTATCAGATGGTGTCAGTTCATCTCTGGGCCCCCTGCCTTGTTCTTGTATACAGTATTAACACTCAAGAAATAGCTATGAACTGAAAATAAAGACGCACCCAACTGCTTTGTAATCAACTGCTATGGAGTGAACTCGGAGCAGAGAGTGGAAGAGCAACCGCCAAGAGTAAGACAGACTCTAGAAGCTGCCAGAAGGAAATCGGCACTGACTAATTTTGACTGTGCTGTCATTTACATAAAACTCCAAAAAAGGGGGCCTGAAAAAGAGACACACCCCTCCCCAGGGACACTCCAAGGCCACAGCTGCCTCTGGCAGGACAAGCCCAGACCTAGAGGCCAGGGTTTCACCCCTTCATGACATGGCACACCCTGGTGGTAGAGGGTCTAAGCTTTGGAGCCCAACTCAGGCAGAGCAGACGCAAGCCACTTAACCTCGCCAAGCCTCAGTTTCTCCATCTGTGAAATGGAAACACTGACAGAAGTTGTAAAGAATAGAATTTCTTAAAGGCAGAGACTTTTGTTCACTATGGTGCCTATACAGTGCCCAGCACACAGTAATTGCTCAATAAATGTGTTCACTGGTATCCCCTCTGGCTCTCAGGGACCCCCCCTTTCCAGGTTTAATTCCTAATTCAAGGTGAGGCCCTTCTGGACTGCAGCTGGTAGCTTCAGATGTCTGGAAATATGGGACCTCTCCCTAACTTACAGACAGTAAGAGAAATGAGGGTGCAGGAAGTTCTGGATGGTCCTCCTAGATAGAGCGGAAAGAGGAAAATAGAGGCTGATCACCCTGTCCAGGGCAAGAGGGGACACCAGTGCCCTCCAGCAAGCAGCAGGTACCTCCAGCCCATCTCGCATTCAACTGCACCTCCCCTCACAGCTACTGCGACCATATATTAGGTGGCCCCTGTAGCCTGTCACAGGCCAGGGCTTCAAGAGAGGAACTAGGCAAGTGGTGCCCCCACCCCACGTTTCACACATTCACACCCTTCCTATTAGCAGCTGTAGTCGTTGGCCACCGCCTAGGCCTCCAAGCAGAAGGGGAGACTTAGTCTTCCGGAAACAAAGACTGGGGAAATAATGCAATGTGGGTAAGGCACTGTCATTCACGACACTGGCATCCCAAGCATGGGAGACTGCTAGTTCGAGTCCTGGCTCCTCCATTTTTAGTCCAACTTCCTGCTATCTGGCTCCTGGCTCTGGCCTGAGAAAACAAGGCATGAGGAACTGCAAAGGGACAGAGGTGGGGGTGTAGTTGCTGCCAGATCTTCCATCTCTGAACCTTAATCTCAGCCTTTGATTTTCAGGGGGTCCACCCCCACCACCACCATGTGAGTGCAATCTTTCTGAACATCCTTTACCCAGGGACCCCTGCCCACCTCTCCCGTAGCCCACAGACTGGAGAGCTGTAGCCCTGCTTGTAGTCTGTGTGCAACACACCTTCCAAGGCCAGGCCCTTGCACGGATGAGCACTCAACAGGGTGGGACTGAGCAGCACTACACTTTGGGAGGAGAGGGGAAAGAACATGCGAGGGGGTACAGATGGTGTGAACCACAGCCAGGCTATCCTACTGGAGGCCTGGCCAGAGGCCAAGGTCCCACTGGCCTCCAAACTTACCCCCTCAGACCTCCTCCCGCCAGGGGGCCTGGCTGTGTCCCAGAAGTTTTAATAAGGGGCCCACCCCTTGGCAGAGTTCACAGGGGAGGTTTTGTCCTGCTCAGCCCAGTTTCTCGGCCCTCCTGTCCGCTTAGTGCCCAGCGGACTGCTCTTCTTCCTGTTTTGCCTCTTTCCCTCCCAGCCGTCCTCCCTAGGCCTCCCCCTGCCTGCTAGGAGCAGCTCCTAGTGCTCCCCTAGGCACAAGCTTGGCTCCCTTTTGCTCTGCCATGGGGCAGTCTCTGGATCTCTCTCTCTCTCTCTCTCTCTCTCTCTCTCTCTCTCTCTCTCTCTCGTGTGTGTGTGTGTGTGTGTGTGTGTGTGTGTGTGCATGTGTATGTGTGTTTTAAGTCAGGTCCCCATACACAGTGGAGACAGATGGAAAGCCACAGAGCAGAGGACAGAAAAGATCAGCCGCTGTCTCACAAGACTGGCAGCTTTTAACAGTCTTTGCCCGGTGATGCTCCGACCAACTCTCTAAGAACCCAGCGAGTCACAGAGCTGGGAGGCTCAGGCTGTGCCTGGGGGGACACAGAAGGGTTCCACTTAAGGAAGTCTTTAGGAGATGGAGTGGGATCCCCTGCTTGAGAGGACTCCAGCCTGTAGGGGTGCTGGGGGGAAGAGCTCGGGGTTACTCTGGAAAGTCCCTGCAGGCAGCAGAGTTTAGAGCAGAAAGAAAAAGAAAAAAAAAAAAAAAGAGATAGCAAAACTCTACCAAGCCCTTTAGGAAGGGTGTCTCCAGACAGCACAGCCTAGAAAAGGCCAGAGATGAGCTGGGTGCCCTGTGTGTCTTCAACGGGCAAAAGCAAGCAGACAGCCAGGAGCTGACGGAGGCCAAGCCAGAGAGGCCCCGACTACAGGCGGGCAGGGGCAAAGCCACAGGGCGGAGACAGGAAAACCTGGATCTGGGGTTCCCAACCTGGTACCAGTGGCAGCAGTGGGATCCTCCCCCCAACATCTGCAGCTCTCAGATCTGTTGCACACACACACACAGACACACACACGACCCCATGGCTGACCAGCACACTCTCATTGTACAGATGTGCACACCAAGGCCCAGGGAACACAGCACACAGACACTTAGCAGCCAGGTCAGTACCTCTTTCCCAAGCCCCAGCCAGGATGGGGACTACCAGCCCACTGCACACACTGGTGGTCATTGAGACAGAGGATGGTCAGGACGCAAGACAGAAGACGCCCAGAGCAGACATGAGGAATCTAGGTGATGCAGGTGGCCTGGGCTCTTGGGGTACAGCAAGTGATGTTGATCTAAGAGACATTTTAGGGAAACCAAACCAGAGTCCTGGTGTATTCAAGACTGGAGGCATCTGACAGTCAGAGAGGCACAGTGTTAAAGACTCGGGGCCAGAAGGCACAGGGGACTGGGCAGAGCCCAGGAGAACTTCCTATAACTGGAGGGGAGCAGAGCCTGATCAGGAGATGGAGCAATCTCGAGCCACATCCTCCAGGAGCAGGGGAGAGGCCGAGCGAGGAGCAGGAGCCCAGCCCTCACAGCCAGCAGCCCCACCCGGGACAGTGAGCAAGAAACCACAGCAAAAACACACTGGCCTGTCCTTTACCCTCCTCCACCCACTCAGTAGGAGAGGGGGCCACAATCACATCATCAAGCCCTCGGGGGAGGAGGCTAAGCCTCGGGTTTTATAGAAGAGGAAACGCAGGCCGGGAGGGGAAGTGACTTATCTACCACCCCACAGAATCGCAAGGCCCAGCCCAGGAGGGAGCCCCTACGACAAACAGCCAGGCTGTTCCTGGACAGTGGCCCAGAAAACAGGGAGGTGGGACCCAGAGACTGCAGCAGCCTGCCCCTTCCCCTGCCCCAGGAGAGAAAGTTTCATCTCCTAACATCCCTCCTCCCTTAGACAGATACATCATCCCCTTGCCTTGGGCTGGGAGGGGAAGCAGCTGGGACCCCCCCACACACACACACGCGCACCCACGGGATAAGAAGCAAAGTCACTTCCTGCTAGAGGCTGTGGGCCCCTCTTGATGTATTTATTCACTCCGTGGGCATACATTAAGTACTAGATATTTGGACGATGGTGGCAAGGGGGGCAGGATGAGTTTGCAAGCCAAGAGCCGGGGTCAGAGTGCCCAGCTCCTGCCCAGAACTAGAGTGTCAAGAGCAGGTAGAGGGATGCTCAAGGTATTGCAGGTGCAGCCCCTAGCCTCCCCACCCCAGCATGGGTGGGAGTCTCAGCTAGTGTGAGCTCCCAGGGATGGGATGTTGGGCAGGGGACAGGGTAGGTATAAAAGTGGCATCACCGGCTTCTCAGACACTCTTACCATTAGGCATATCTTTGCTACAGAACTCTACACACAGATACACAAGTCCGCCCCCCACCCACCCAGAATCCGACCTGGCAGGAGCAGGGAGTCAAAACTAACCCAGGCCACAGCCAGTAACTCATCAAAGTGGCTGAAGCCTCAGTCTCCCAGTCAATCCAATGGGAACAATAACAGCTCCGATGCCCACGGTCGCTGAGAGCCAAGACATCATGAAGGAGCAGGCAGTCCGTACCTCGCCCCTGCCTCATCTGCCTACAGAGGAGCAGGGGAGCGGGCAGGAACGAGGAAGGCCTTCCCGGGACCCCAACGCAGCTCCCCGCCCGGCCCTCACCTCCTCCTCCATGGAGAGTCCGCCCAGCTCGGCAGCTCGGCTGCTCACTCCCGGCGCCCCGAGGGCTCTGCTTGTGTTCTTCACGCCCCGCCGGGCGGCGGCTCCCGGCGCTCTGTCCCGCCGGCCGCCCGGGGCCCAAGAAACTTCGGGAGGGCGGGGCCGGGGGCGGGGAGAGGCTTCCGGGGGCCAGGGGCGGAGCCCGGGCAGAAAAGGGGACACCAACTGGGCAGGTTCGAGAATCAGCGGGACCGGGTATGGCTGAGGGCGGGGCAAGGGCGGGACCAGAACTGGGGCGGGGCCTACTCCGGGGCGGGGCCTACGCCGGGCGGGACCGGACCGAGACCCCGAGCCAAGGACAGGGATTGGGGCGGGTCGAGGATGGAGCCTGAGCGGGGGGCGGGCCTGAGGCGTGTGGGCGGAGTCACTCTGGGAGGGGCGTGGTGAGGCGGAGTCTGAGCGGAACGGGACCGGAGCTGTGGGCGGGGCCGCGGCGGGGCGGGGCTGGAGCTGTGGGCGGGGCCGCGCCGGGGCGGGAGCTGTGGGCGGGGCCGCGCCGGGGCGGGGCTTGCTGGGGCGGGGCCGGGCGTGTGTCGGGATAGCGGAGACCGAGCGGAGCTCCACCGGGGCTGGGCGGGGAAGGGAGCCGGGCGGGGAAAGAGCCGGGCGGAGCGGGCTGGGGAGAGAAGGCAGCGCCGGAGGGGACAAGGCTGCGCCTGAGTATTGGCTGCCCACGACGCGGCTAGGGCGGGGGCCGAGGCTTCCGGCCCTGTGTCCGAGGCGCGAGCGCGGGCGGGGCCGGGCGGGGTCGCATGGAAGGCTGCGGTGGAGGAGGCTGCCAGGGGCCGGGGGATGCGGGACCAGCATGGACCCACACATGCTGCCTGCCAGGGGCCGGGGGATGCGGGACCAGCATGGACCCACACATGCGGCCTGCCAGGGGCCGGGGGATGCGGGACCAGCATGGACCCACACATGCGGCCTGCCAGGGGCCGGGGGATGCGGGACCAGCATGGACCCACACATGCGGCCTCCTCACGGCTCTTCCCCGAACCCGGGGCCCTTGGGCGGAGTCCGGCCCCGAACTTAGATCTGTGTCCAGAGGATCGTGTAACGCGAGCTCCTGGGGCTGGCAGTCTGGACCCTGGGTCCTTTGCGGATCGGGGAGGTGGGGGGCTGCCCCTTGGTTCTAGTGGGGGCCTCATGCGCAATGCTCTCCTGCCCTTCTCTGGGCCCAGATCCGAGGGCCGCCTCCCCCACTTCTATCTAGGAGTGACTCATCCTCACCACGCTCCTTGCCTCCTCCTTGGGAGCAGCCGAGACCAGGAGACCCGGAGAGAGATCCCAGCCTTGAGCGCTGTCCCCTCCCTTCTGCTCTCCTGGTCAGCCCTGCTTCATGCCAGGGCTCAGGGAATTAACTTGGTGCAGCATCAGTGGTGACCTGTGACTCTAGCGGCCATAGCTCCAATGTGCTGGTTGAGCAAACCCCACTTCCACTGCGTTTTGCCAATCTCCCAGTCCACTTGCATCCGTGTTTATAAAGGGGGACGGCACAATATCTCACATGACTAATCCTTCACCTCCAAGAGCCAGCATCTCAAAAGAACGACTGTTCATTTCTCAGCTGCTCCACTTCCCTTCCAGCTCCTTGTTTGTGCCCTGGGAAAGCAGCCGAGGACGGCCCAAAGCCTTGGGACCCTGCACCCACGTGGGAGACCCAGAAGAGTCTCCAGGCTCCTGGCTTCAGATCGACTTAGCTCTGGCCGTTGGGACCCTTTGGGGGAGTGAACCAGTGAATGAAAGATCTTTCTCTTCTCTCTCCGTCTCTCCTTTTCCTCGTAACTCTGATCTGCCTTTCCAATAAAAAGAAATAAATCTTTATATATATATGGTAAGGCTTCACACGTTAGCCTAGCAGCTAAAGCCCTCACCTTGCATATGCCAGAATCCCATATGGGCACCGGTTCTAATCCCAGCGGCCCCATTTCCCATCCATCTCCCTGTGGCCTGGGAGGGCAGGCAAGGACAGCCCAAAGCCTTGGGATCCTGCACTTGGGTGGGAGGCATGGAAGAAGTTCCTTGCTCCTGGCTTTTGATTGGCGCAGCTCTGGCTGTTGCGGTCACTTGGGGAGTGAATTATTGGGTGGAAGATCTTCCTCTCAGTCTCTTCTCTCTGTATATCTGACGTTCCAATAAAAATAAAATAAAATATAAGTATTTTTTTTTCCCTCGCTTTCGTTGTCCTTCAGGTCCTACACCACTAAATGCCTGGGAGATAGGGCTGGGTTCAGGGTCCCTGTCTGCTCTGGGAGAGAAAGGCCTGGAAACAGAGAGGAGTCTGTGTTATCTAAGACGGCTCATGCACAGGGAAGGGTACTGAAACCAAGACAAAGACGTAGGCCGGGGGACATGTGTTCTAGGCAGCAAAGAGAGTGTGAGCAATGGTGTGAGATGTGGAGAAGGCGCTCACACTGGAGAAGCAGAGCTCAGCATGGAGAGACTGGTGGGTTGTGCTGAAGCCACATTCTAACCTCAGGACAATGGGAATTCATGGCAGGCTTTTGGCTCCGGAAGTGGCAAAGTCCATTTGGCACGCACATCATTGAGTCAATCGGCGGCGTTCATTGAGTGCCTCTTCGGCAAGAGTGCTCTCTCCTAGGCCGTCCTGGAGTTGTCCGTTCACTCAGAGCAGCCTGGGAAGGCTCTGGAATCTGTTTCCTGTCTTCGGCGCTTCCCCCTCAGCTCATTTCATCTTCCCCCACTGTAGGTGCTTACCTGTGGTGGTCTCCGCTGCCACCCTCCCTCCACACTTCCAAGGATCTGAGGCTCAAAGAAATAAAAAGGCCAGGTGGAGCCCACTCACTCGGCCAGACTCCAGCGTCCCAGCTTGTCCTACCTGTCTGGTCTTGGCAGCCTGGTGTGACCAGGTCACCAAAAGGCAGACTCTGCCCCCCGAGAACTGACAAGTCAGTAGGGGACTTGGGTGAAGGAAGACAGGTGTGTTGGGAGCTGCCTCCTGGGGTGTGGTGAGGGATACGAGGCTGAACTGAGTGGGGTAGACGGGAAGCAGGGGGCGTTTAGGATAAGGGAACATTTCACAAACTTAGGAACTTGTAGAGTACCCTAACTCATTAGGGGGACTGCACACAGGCTTTGAATGATCAGCTGTGTGGGACACAGGTGCAAGGAACGGTGGAAGTCTAAGATGCCTTGAGTGGAGTCAGGGGACAAGTCAGGAAAAGCCTTGAATGCCAACCTCAAGGACCGGGTCGTCCTCTTGTACGAAGCAAGGGCCCACTGAAGCCTGAGGCAGAGTGACACAGAGATGATTTACTCCTCAAATTCCTACAACAGTTGGAGGCGGGACTGCGCCAGGTCAGAAATCCATCAGGGTCACCCATGTGACAGGTACTTTTTAAAAAAAGATTTATTTATTTTTATTGGCAAGGTAGATATATATAGCAAGGAGGAGAGACAGAGAGGAAGATCTTCCATCCGATGATTCACTTCCCAAGTGAGCTACAATGGCTGGTGCTGAGCTGATTCGAAGCCAGGAACTCTTCCAGGTCTCCGACATGGGTGCAGGGTCCCAAGGCTTTGGGCCGTCCTCCACTGCTTTCCCAGGCCACAAGCAGGGAGCTGGATGGGAAATGGAGCTGCTGGGATTAGAACCGGCATCCATATGGGATCTCTGCTCATTCAAGGCGAACACTTTAGCCTCTAGGCCACTGTGCCGGGCCCGAAGCCAGGTATTTGAGCCATCTTCCACTGCCTTTTCAGAGTATGCATTAGCAGGGAGTTAAATTTAAAACATTCTAACTGGGACGCGGGCATTACAAACAGTGGCTTGCCCGCCCCCCCCAACTGCACCATAATGCCTGCCCCAAAAGCTCTGTCAGCTTTGGGGGCCTAGTGCAGTAGCCTAACGGCTAACATGCCAACATCCCATATGGACGCCGGTTCTAATCCCGGCAGTTCCCAATCCCATCCAGCTCCCTGCTTGCGGCCTGGGAAAGCAGCCGAGGATGGTCCAAAGCCTTGGGATCCTGCACCCATGTGGGAAGCCAGGCAGAAGCCCCCGGCTCTGGGCATCGGATCGGCTCAGCTCCGACCGTTGCGACCATTTGAGCAGTAAACCAGCGGATGGAACACCTTTCTCTCTGTCTCTCCTTCTCTGTAAATCTGCCTTTTCAATACAAATAAAGTAAGTCTTTTAAAACTATGTAAAACGCTGCAGCGGGTGAAGCCGAGTGGCGTCTCTCTCCGAACCAACCTCAAGGCGGCAGCAGTGAGCAGAGCACCGCGGAGCCGGGAGCGTAAGGCAGGAAGTGCCCCTCCTGCGAGGACTCCGGGCTCCGCCTCTCTCCCCCACCGGCCAATCAGGGCCCAGCTGGCCGCGCCGGCGCGCTGGTGGGAGGAGACCCGGGACCGTCAGCCAGGCCGCGCGGTGCGCTGAGGCTTTGGCTTCCAGTCGCCACAAGAGGCAAGTTGTGGTTCATGAAAAAGGCTGAGTGGACGTACCTGCACTTTCGTAAAGAGTCTGGTAATTGGGGGTGCCCACCGCGATGGCTCAATGGCTAAGTCCTCACCTTGCAAGCGCTAGGATCCCATATGGACGCCAGTTCATGTCCCGGCTGCTCCACTTCCCATCAGCTCCCTGCTTATTGCCTGGGAAAGCAGTACAGGATGACCCAAAACCCTGGACCCTAGACCCACGTGGCAGACCTGGAAGAAGTTCCTGGCCTCTGGCTTCGAATCTGCTCAGCTACTGCCATTGCGACCACTTGGGGAGTGAACCAAAAGGTGAAAGACTTCTTTCTGTTTTTAAGATTACCCTTTTAGGTCTGGCATGGTAGCCTAGCAGCTAAAGTCCTCCCCTTGGGCACGTCGGGATCCCATATGGGCACTGGTTCTAATCCGGGCAGCCCCACTTTCCATTCAGCTCCCTCCTTGTGGCCTGGGAAAGCAGTCAAGGCCCGCTCAAAGCCTTGGGACCTTGTACCTGCATGGGGGAGCTGGACAAACTCCTGGCTCCTGGCATCGGATCAGCTCAGCTCTGGCTTTGTGGCCACATGGGGAGTGAATCATCAGATGGAAGATCTTCTGTGTCTCTCCTCCTCTCTGTATATCTGCCTTTCTAATAAGAATACAAATTTAAAAATAAAATAAAGCTCGTTAACAATAGAAAATAAAATAATAAAATAACCCTTGTAAATACATAGGGCCGCACAGATAACCCAAGATTATCTTACCTCACAATCATTAATGAGACCATATCTGCAAAGCCTTTTAGGCCATTTGATGGCAACAGCCACAAATGCCAGGGATTCGTATATGAAAAAGTTTGCAGGGAAAGGGACCATTAGTCTACCCACCACAATGAGTTTAAGATTTTTTTCCTTAACACCATGGACAAGTCTGAGCTGCGATCCTGGAACTCAGTCTGGGTGTCCTACGTGGGATGGCGTGGAACCAGGTGGTTGAGACAGTAACAGGTACAACTCAGGGTGCAGCTTAGCAGGAAGCAGGGTCAGAAACAGGAGTAGTGAGATGTGGGTGTCCCAAGTGGGGATTTTACACCAGACACCTGCCCCAGGTGGCTTTCAGGAGCTTCACAGAACCGTACCACTCTCAACACAATCATTTTTAGAACAGTTTCTTCTTTTTCCCATCTTACACTGCTCAAGGCTCTAAGACCACTCGCTCAGTCTCACGTCCGTGCGGGCTGGCTGCGGCAGTGACTGTCCAGGGCTGAGAACTCAGGCGCCTTCTGCAGCACTCCCTTCCCCAGCTTGGCAGGTCACATGGCAGCAGTGCCAAGGTAGCCGGGCAGGTGCAGTGGGTGGGCAAGCAGCTGCCTTGCATTCTAGGCTTGTTTTTGGTTGTCCTCAAGCAGTATAAACCTGGATAATACCCTGTGGAGCCCTGCTGTTCCTCATTTGAATGATGGGGGGCAATTTAGCACACACACACACACACACACACACACACACAAAACCCTTTAACATTTTATTTATTTTTATTGGAAAAGCAGATATACAGAGAAAGAGAGACAAAGATCCTCCATCCGATGGTTCACTCCCCTAATGGGTGCAATGACTGGTGCTGCGCAGCTCCGAATCCAGGAGCTCAGATCCTCTTCCGGGTCTCCCACAAGGGTGCTTTCCCAGGCCACAAGCAGGGAGCTGGATGGGAAGTGCAGCTGCTGGGGTTAGAACCGGCACCCATATGGGATCCTGGTGCGTTCAAGGCAGGGACTTTAGCCGCTAGGCCACTGCGCCGGGCACTATATAGGTTCTACACTTGATCTTAGCCAAAAGGCCGAGAAGCGATCACTATATAGGTTCCAATGTTGCCAATACACTTGGTCTTAGTTAGCCAAGAGGCTGAGGAGCTATTAATTTGACTATATAATGTTGATTCTTTTGATCCAAAAAAAATTAATTTTTAAAGATTTATTTTTATTGGAAAGGCGGATATACAGAGAGGAGAGACAGAGAGGAAGGTTTTCCATCCGATGATTCACTCCCCAAGTGAGCGCAACAGCTGATGCTATGCCAATCCGAAGCTAGGAGACTCTTCCGGGTCTCCCACACGGGTGCAGGGTCCCAAAGCCTTGGGCTGTCCTCGACTGCTCTCCTGGGCCACAGGCAGGGAGCTGGATGGGAAGCGGGGCTGCCGGGATTAGAACCGGCGCCCATATGGGATCCCGGGCGTGCAAGGCGAGGACCTTAACCACTTGCGTCATCGTGCCGGGCCCTGATCCAAAATTTTTTAGAAGAAAAATGAACAGTTATGTGCTGGGAGGACAATGAGACGTTTTGTGTATTGTTCTAAAGCAAAGAATGGGATTATTGCTCATTTCAAATCTAAATCTGCCATCTTTCGCTGCTTTTATGGGATGCTCCTTTGGGATTTGCACATTGAAGGCAGAAGCTTTACCCGCTACTCCACACTGTGGGTTCCATTCCATTTGACTTTTTTATGCTTGGATTTATATTTATTTTTATATAAATGTATATATATTTATTTATCTACATATTTATTTGAAAGTCAGAATTACAGAGAGAATGTTTCAGCTGCTAGCTCACTCTCCAAGTGACCACAATGACCAGAGTGGGGCTGATCTGAGCCAAGAGCTTCTTCCAGATCTTCCAAGTGGATGCAGGAGCCCAAAACCTTGTATCATCTTCTGCTGCTTTCCTGGGTCCATTAGCAGGGGCCAGGGTAAGAAGTGGAGCAGCCAGAACTCATAACGGCTTCCATGTGGGAGACTGGTGTCACAGGCAGCAGCTTTAACTGCTACACAACAGAGCCACTCCCAGATGTCTTTTAAGTTATTTAATTTCTATATACTGAATGTCACTGACATAGTCAATAACATGGAGCCTGTACCATGTTTTTTGGGAGTGTTTAGGCTAAAAACATTTCTTGCATTCAGTCTGTGTACTTAGTTCTAAAATAACTTGTTTTTAATTTCTTGAAAAACAAATTCTGGGCCCAGCGCGGTAACCTAGCGGCTAAAGTTCCCACCTTGCATGCATTGGGGTCCCATATGGGTGCCGGTTCTAATCCAGGCAACCCCACTTCCCGTCCAGCTCCCTGCTTGTGGCCTGGAAAAGCAGTCGAGGACGGCCCAAAGCCTTGGGACCCTGCACCCGTGTGGGAGACCCGGAAGAGTCTCCAGGTTCCTGGCTTTGGATTGGCCTAGCTCCAGCCTTTGTGGCCACTTGGGGAGTGCATCAATGAATGGAAAATCGTCCTCTCTGTATATCTGACTTTCCAATAAAAATAATATAGATCTCTTAAAAATAAAAACAAATAAGTTTTTAGGGCTATATGGTGGTGCACAGAATTAAGCCAGGCCAACTGTGTCCACATCTTATGTGAGCCACGGTTGGAATCCCAGCTGCTCCACTTCCGATCTAGCTCCTTGCTAACGCTCCTGGGAAGGCAGCAAAATGGCCCAAGTGTTTGATCCCCTGCATCTGTGTGGGAGACTCATGTGGAGCTGGCGGATCCTGGCTCCCATCTGGCCCCATTGCAGCCATTTGCAGAGGAGTGAAGTAGTGGATGGAAAATTTCTGTCTCACCCTCTTAAATAAATTAATTTTCTGGGCATCCAGTGCAAGAAGATAAGTAAGAATTCCCTGAGGAGAGCCTCTCAGACCCTTTCCTTGAGCCCTTTATGCAGCTGGCACGGGTCTGAGTTCCTCACACGGGGCTCAGCCTGATCCACCCTTACAAAAGGCAAGCAAGGGAGGAAAGAATGGGGTAAGCCGGCTCAGGAGTGGACAACGGTGCGAGTGGGAATGGGGTGTGCCGGGCCAGACGGAGGCAGCTCTTCCTTGGGGACCAATCCAGGCGCCGGGTGGGCAGCAGCTGGACAGCCAGGGTGGGTGACGGACGTCCTGTCCTCTGCTGCTTCTTGTCTGCCCCAAGCCCCGTCATCCTGTGCGATCGGTAAAGCCCAGGCGGAGACACCCAACTGAAGGCACACCCACCGCCACGCCCCTGACTGTGACTGGCTGGAGCATTTAAAGCCCCGGCCGGTGATAGGGCGATTTTTAAAATCCTTACTATTTGAAAGTTTCGCTCCAGGCTCCTAGTCTACCCGGACGACTTGAATCAGCGTGTTCCTCTGCGTGCCGGCTCGAGTGAGTGTCTCCCCCGCAGCCTGGTTCCCCTGGGGGTCCCCCGCTGGGTGGGTCAGCCGGGAGGACACCTCTCCGGGCAAACACGCACCCAAGCCACCCGATCGCCACCTTGGGAGCTAGGGCATCACCCCGGCCTGGACTCCTTCATCCCCCCTGGCTTCTTTTCCACTCTGGTCACGGTGCAGCCGACCTGGCTGTGTTTTAACCAACGAGCGCGCCTGGAGGACAGGCCGAGGGCGCCCAGAACCTGTCAGGCCCTTTCGCATACTCCTAGGTGTATCTGTCTCGTTGGGGGTTGGAGGACGGTGGGAGATTCTGGCGTTCTTGCAGTCGGGCTTGTTCTTGCACACCCCCTTGTAGGTCTCGAAGCTCCCCAGGCCTGGAGGCACCCCACGCTGCTGTTCAGACCCAGCTCTGGATATTGTGCAACCGATTTCATTTCTCAGAACATCTTTTCGGTGAACCCCCAGACCTTTGGCCGTCTCAGGATAGCCTCCGTGACCCAGAGACGCCTTGCTCCCCGTCCCGCACCCTCCTCCCCGAAAACCCCCGCGATCCCCGCGCTCGGGTCTCTCCACAACCCAGCGAAAGGCGGAGGTGATGCTCTCGGACACCCCAACGGTGGCTGCCGGATGCAGCGACGCGGAGCTGCGGTGCCGGGTAGCGGTGGAGGAGCTGAGCCCAGGCGGCCAGCCCCGCAGGCGCCAGGCCCTGCGCACCGCAGAGCTGAGCCTGGGACGTAACGAGCGCCGAGAGCTCATGCTGCGCCTGCAGGCTCCGGGGCCCGCGGGGCGGCCACGCTGCTTCCCACTGCGCGCAGCGCGCCTTTTCACGCGCTTCGCCGCCTCCGGGCGCTCCACGTTGCGGCTGCCGGCTGCCTGCGCCCCGCGCCCGGGCGCCGTGCAGCTGCTGCTGTCGGACTGTCCGCCCGAGCGCCTGCGCCGCTTCCTGCGCACGCTGCGCCTCAAGCTGGCCGCCGCCCCCGGACCCGGACCTCCCTCTGCCCGCGCGCAGCTGCTCGGCCCGCGGCCCCGCGACTTTGTCACCGTCAGTCCGGTGCAGCCGGAGGAGCTGCAGCGCGTGGCGACCTCCCGGGCCCCCAACACCACGCTCGTGAAACAGCCCTCGGAATCGGGCGAAGGCGGGGGGTCCAGCACGGTGAGTGTGTGTACTGCCCTCTGAATGCAAGAATCGCCGTGTGTGTGTGTGTGTGTGTGTGTGGTGCGCGCGCGCGCGTCCCGGGACATCTGGGTGTGACAGGGATGTGGGAATTGAGCCTGCTAGTGGGAAAGAGAGGAAGGAAGGAGATGCAGGCCACGAGAACCTGGAGAATCGTCACTTTGGGATTTCTAGCATGACATCAAGTGGACATTCCCATCTCGGAGTAGGGATGTAGTTCGGCAGCTGGGAGCAGTGTGTGTCCACCCTGCCCCCTCCGACCCACAAAGATAAAGCAGAAAAGAGAAAGGAAGATTGGAAGCATTTGCACCACCTACCTTTCCCCACACCTCGACCCTCCCCATCCTGTGCAGTGGTCCTCAGGGGGCATGCATTCTTGTCAACTATGTAAATAACATCAAAAATTATTCTTCTTATTATTTTAAATGAGGAAGTGAAGGGACCCTGGAAAGACGCAAGAAAAGCAGGAGAGTGCAGGCCAGGGAAGAGAGAGGCCTTAAATAGAAATGAGGGGGTGAGCAGTGCCGGGGCAGCCAGCATCCAATCAGATAGGGCCACAGGGAAAGGAATGACAATATCTCCAATAGGACAGGTGGATTCAGGACCACAAGGGGTGTTGGAGACCAAGCTGATGAGAATATGGGACAAGAAGAGGGCCTGGCTAGGCAGGATTGGGCTTGAGTGGGCTGTTGTTTTGGATGTTATTTACTTATGTGAAAGGCAGACAGGGAGAGACACAAATTTTCCATCTGGTTCACTCCCTAAGGAACTCCAGTCTCCCAAGTGGGTGCAGGAGGCCAAGCACTCGAGCCGTCTTCCATTGCTTTCCCAGGAACATTGGCAGGGAGCTTTAGCAGAAGTAGAGCAGTCAGGACTCCGACCAGCAACCGTGTTGGTGGCTTAACTTGATTTGTCACAGTGTTGGGCCCCCGGCTTGAGTGTTTTGAGGTGACAGGGACAGAGTTAAACTAGAAAGAGAAGTGAGAAGGAAAGTTGGGTGGCAAGGCAAGAAGGGTTAGGGAGCCTGAGGAGGGAGCTGACGGAGGATGCAGATGCGCTCTGTGGGGGATCAGGGCCCAGGGTTGCTACTTCGTGAACCAGAGTAACCCACGAGTTCCAAAAGGACAAAGGGCTAATAGGCCTGCGATCCACACAGGCCCAGAAGGGAGGGGGACTTCAGGAGGGCCCTAATTCAGGCCTGTCTCCCCAGGAAACCCCAAAATGGCCCCTGCCCGTGAAGAAGCTGCACCTGCCCCCTGCCAAGCCACAGCTTTCCGAAGAGCAGGCCACCGTGCTGGCCGCGGTGCTCAAAGGCCATAGTATCTTCTTCACCGGGAGTGCAGGTAGTAGCGGGGCCAGGTACTAGAGCGGTGGTGGGCGGGGCCTACTGGAGGGACAGGCAATTCCTGATCTTGCTCCCTGGCACAGGCACAGGGAAGTCGTACCTGCTAAAGCGCATCCTGGGCTCCCTGCCCCCGACAGGCACCGTGGCCACGGCCAGCACCGGGGTGGCGGCCTGCCATATTGGTGGGACCACCCTCCATGCCTTTGCAGGTGAGTGGGGAGACCAAGCCTGGGTGAGAAGCAGGGAGAATGGGAGGCTGGGGTCTCTGTTGCCTGGGCTAAAAAGTATCCCCTGCAGGTATTGGCTCTGGCCAAGCTCCCCTGGACCAGTGTGTGGCCCTGGCCCAGCGGCCGGGGGTGCGGCAGGGCTGGCTGAGCTGCCAACGGCTGGTCATTGATGAGGTCTCCATGGTGGAGGCGGACCTGTTTGACAAGCTGGAGGCTGTGGCCAGGTTAGTCTGTGTGCAGCCAGTGCAGGAAGGCAGGGCAGAGAGGTGGAAGGAGTGGTGGTGGTGGTGGTGCCAGGCGGTGGGTTGGTGGGGGAGGGTCTGGTTCTCGCCCACCCCAGTCCCTAAATCCCTTGGGGCCTCCTGGCAGGGCTGTGCGGAAACAGGACAAGCCATTTGGAGGAATCCAGCTCATCATCTGTGGGGACTTCCTGCAGCTCCCACCAGTGACCAAGGGCTCCCAGGCCCCACGCTTCTGTTTCCAGGTACCACTTGCTCCCCGGGCCTGCCCAGCCCTTCCCCCCATCAGACAGATGCCACTCAAGCCAAATCTGACCCACCCTCCCAATCCTGTCTCCAACAGGCCAAAAGCTGGAGGCGCTGTGTGCCCGTGACCCTGGAGCTGACGGAAGTATGGAGGCAGACGGACCAGGCTTTCATTTCCCTGCTGCAGGCTGTGAGGCTGGGCAGGTGGGCCGCAGGAACAGAGACGAGGCCATGGGACAAGAATACAGGCCTGGGCTGTATTGTCCCTGTTGGGCCCAGGGATCCAGGGAAGGGGATCAGAGAGGAGAGGTGTTCCAGAACAACAAATGGTACAGGCAGAGGCTGGGACCCCGGGCAACCCAGGAGAGGCATGGCCCCCATGGAAGTGATTGGAGAGAACCAGCTCCCTCAGAGTTGGCACAGAGTATGGCTCAGGGAAGCAAAGATGGGCTAATGGACAGTGCGTGTCCCTGGAGGAAGTTTGAGACGGGGTGGGGGGGTGGGGGGGTTGGGAAAGAGAACCCCTGGCCTGCGGCAGTAGGCAGGTGACAAGAGTATGTCCCAAAGTGATGTGAGCTCAGGGCGGCCAGCGTTGCATCCCTATCTGCTCCTGGGCTGGTCTTGCAAATCTTTGGCCTCTGCAGGAGCATACTGGGGTGACCTGTTCCCACTCCCCACCGCAGCCTCAGTCTCTCTGTGTCAAAGACAGATTGGCCAGCCTGGGGCCCAGCTCATCCCATCCCAAGGCCTGACCCATAGCCTGCTGCTTGGGCCCTGCTTCCTCCACCGCCCTCTCCCTTCCTCCCTCCCCACTTTCCCTGGTATTCAGGTGGGACCCTATCCTGACAGCCCAGCTCCCACAGGTGCTCCGATGTGGTGACCCGTCAGCTGCGGGCCACAGCCACCCACAAGGTGGGGCGGGATGGGATTGTGGCCACAAGATTGTGCACACACCAGGATGACGTAGCCCTCACCAACGAGAAGCGGCTGCAGGAGCTGCCAGGTGAGCCGCGAGCCGAAGCGGGGCATGCCCATTAGGCAGCCCCAGACGCAACCTCTGTGCCCATGGAGGCTCTTAGGTTCCTAGGAGTCACCGTGGCTCTGAGAGATGCGATGAGCTGATTTGCAGCCCCATCTCTTTGGTGGTTTTGGGAACAGAACCACAAGGCAGTGATGTGGGATCTGTTTCTGCAACTCTTTCCAGGGGAGATGCACAGCTTTGAGGCTCTGGACAGTGACCCCGAACTTGCCCACATCCTGGATGCCCAGTGTCCTGTCAGCCGGCTTCTCCAGCTGAAGCTGGGGGCCCAGGTGGGTAGGAAGCAAGATCTACACCCTGGGATCCTGGGCTTGCGTCCTCTGCCCAGGGCAGCCTGCTGCCCACGGGTCGAGCCATGACCACACCACCCTCCTGGCTTTCTCTTGGCCATTTCTTCCTACCCCTGCACTTTTCCAAGTGTTGCTCTGGTCAAGTCCCTTTCCCTTGGTCACATTCACCTCATCACCCCCCTTCTCTCTCTTTTTTTTTTTTTTTTGAGGATTTATCTTATTTCTTTGAAAGGCAAAGTCACAGAGAGAGGGAGAGATAAAGATCTCTTATCTGCTGGTTCACTCCCTAAATGGCTAAAACTGCAAAGAGCCAGGAGCTTCTTTTGTTATTATGATTTATTTATTTTTATTGGAAAGGTAGATACAAAGAGAAAGATCTTCCATCTGCTGGTTCACTTCTGAAGTGGCCCCAACAGCCAGAGCTAAGCAGACCCAAAGCCAGGAGCTTCCTCCAGATCTACCACACGGGTGCAGGGTCCCAATGCTCTGGGCCGTCCTCCACTGCTTTCCCAGGCCACAAGCAGGGAGCTGGATGGGAAGTGGAGCAGCTGGGACATAAAGCGGCACCTATATACATGGATTCCCAGTGGGTGCAAGGTGAGGACTTTAGTCACTAGGTAACCGCACCAAGCCCCCAGGAGCTTCTTTTGGGTCTCCCCAAAAGAAGAGTGGGTATAGAGGCCAAAGAACTTGGGCCATCTTCCGCTGTTTTCCTAGACCATAGGCAGGGAGCTGGATCAGAGGTGCAGCAGCTGGGACTCAAACCTACACCCATGTGGGATGTGAGTGTTTATCATACTCTGACACAATGACACTTCTCCCCCCACTGCGATCTTTAAAATGGGGCAGGAGGATGAAGTGTTTATAGCTGGGAAGATACTGTTTGGGCTCCCTGCATCCTACATTCAGTTCCTGATTTTAGTCCCCCTGCTGCACTTCCAACTCCAGCTTCTACTTGGGAGGCAACAGGGCTGGGCCAAGTCCTTGGGTCCCCGCCATTCATGTAGGTTACCTAGATGGAGTACCTGGGTCCTGCTTGGGCCCTGACTGTGGGGAATATTTGCAGAATGAACCAGAAGGTGGAAGATCTCTTCATTTTCCCTCTTTTTCTCTCCCCATCTCTCTGTCCCTGTCTCCCCATTTTTCAGATAAACAAAAATTCATGCAGACAGCATAGTGTGGCTGGGGGACAGGGAGAAGGCAGGACTGGATCGCATTCTTTTCAAGTCCCTGTGATTTGTGTCACCCTGTTGATCTGAGCACCTCCTTTTGAGACAAACTGAACCCTTCATTTCCCCGGAAACCAGGGCAGCTTTCCCCAGCCCATGGACAACAGAGCTAAAGACTGGGAACTCAGTACCCTCCACGACAGCCCCCACCTTCAGCCACTGCTGGGTTCCTGCCCAGTCCGCCCCTCCACTCTCCCTGGCAGGTGATGCTGGTGAAGAACTTGGCTGTGTCCCGAGGCCTGGTGAATGGTGCCCGGGGCGTGGTCGTTGGGTTCCAGGATGAAGGGAGAGGTGAGTGATGGTAGAAGGGGATGGTCCTACTGCTGGAGTTTGCAGCAAGACCCTGTGGGGTGCCTAAGGGGAGAAAACAACCAGGAGGGGAAGCCCCAAAGGCCCTAGCCCCCACTTCTCAGCCACAAGCAGCACTGAGACCTCGGCCCTCTTCCTGCCGTTCACAGGGCTGCCCCAGGTGCGGTTCCTGTGCGGAGTCACCGAGGTCATCCGTGCAGACCGCTGGACGGTGCATGCCACTGGGGGCCAGATCCTCAGCCGGAAGCAGCTGCCCCTCCAGCTGGCCTGGGCACTGTCCATCCACAAGAGCCAGGTGAACACCAGTGCTACAGGCAGGACTGGGCCAGCAGCTGGGGGACAGGGAGGAAGGGACATATCTGAGGGGGAGGGAGCAGGGGAGATGCTGAGGCTTTGGGAGGTTAAGCTTCTGCAGAGCAGGAATCAATTCAGCCTTCCATTAGTAAGTGGCAGAGGCAGGATCTGCACCTACCTGACCACCCCATCCCTCAACTGGGATCCCAGTCTGTCTTCTGCTATTCTCCTCGCACACTCCCTGTGCTTCAAGGCTGTCTGGGCTTAGCAAGGAGATCCAGGGCTGGTTCTGGAGTGCCAAGAACTGTGCACTGACCTGGCCCCGTCTCTGTACCTCTGTCCGCAGGGAATGTCCCTGGACTGTGTGGAGATCTCCCTGGGCCGCGTGTTTGCCCCCGGCCAAGCATACGTGGCCCTCTCCCGGGCCCGCAACTTGCAGGGCCTGCGCGTCCTGGACTTCGACCCCATGGTGGTTCGCTGTGACCCTCGTGTGCTGCACTTCTACGCCACCCTGCGGCGGGGTCAGGGTCTCAGGCCGGTAAGAGTCACCTTTGACTGGCTGAGTGGAGCTGGAACAAAGGGAAGGCCCAGGAGGACCTTGGCCCAGAGCGGGGAGGTGCGGAGAAAGCACAGGGAAGGGAGGATGGGGGGAGGGGACCAGAGCCCTTACTGAATCTCCTGGGGGGCATGCGGCAGCCATTGCATAGTTGACACTGCTGTCCCCCAGACCAGGGCCTTGAGGACAGCGCAGTCTCATGCCTGGGTTTCTCTGGCTCTGTGCAGGAATTCCCAAGTGATGACGAGGCCACTTCTGATCAGGAGAATGCAGACCCAAACCCTGAGCCTCGGCTGCCAAGACGACCAAGTAAAAGGGAAGGAGACAATGACCCCGCCTCCTCCATGAGGTCCTGACAGTGTAAAGGATCCAGCAGTGCCTCAGTTTCTCCCCTAGGCAGTGGGTGAACTGTTGGCAGGGGAAGACGTGAGCCCTTTCTGTGCCAGGTGGGAAATGGGCCTCACACAGCACCAAGCGTCACAGGATGAAGCTCTTCCCAAGGGCTGGACATGGAGCTGCTGAGTCCCAATGGCCACTCACTCCCTTGTGACTGCAGAGGGACAAGCAGAGAAGCTAAGGGCCCAGCAGTAGCCTCAGGGCCGCTCTGATAGGGGTCCCCAGGGGAATTCAGGTTGGGCCCCTGAAGCAAAGAATAGAGGTTGACAGTACCCGCGTAGCTGGGTGCCGCTGCGCACAGCCCAGGACATGGCGTGGTTGCAGCCCAGCCTTCAGACAGTGACTGAATAGGTGCACCTGTGGCTTAAACTGCATGTGGGGGAGAAACGAAGAGGAGAAAAATGGTGTCTGGGAGTATGGACATTGATGTTTTCACACTTATTTATTTAGGACTAATAAATCTGGGATGTGGGCCTGGCGCGGTGGTCTAGTGGCTAAAGTCCTCGCCTTGAACGTGCCAGGATCCCATATGGGTCCCGGTTCTAATCCCGGTGGCTCCACTTCCCATCCAGCTCCCTGCCTGTGGCCTGGGAAAGTAGTGGAGGATGGCCCAAAGCCTTGGGACCCTGCACCCGTGTGAGAGACCTGGAGGAAGCTCCTGGCTCCTGGCTTCAGATTGGTGCAGCACCGGCTGTTGCAGCCACTTAGGGAGTGAATCATCGGACGGAAGATCTTCCTTTTTGTCTCTCCTCCTCTCTGTATATCTGACTTTCCAATAAATAAATCTTAAAAAAAAAAAAGCTGGGAACTGAGTAAGAAGCACGCCACCTGCCTGCCTACTCGGCTCCCTGTCCCCTGTGCACCTGCACGCAGGTGTGGAGGCTGTGACGGCAGAAGTCCCAGCTCCCTTATGGGAGGCTCTGGTAGTGTCACTGGCCACTTGGAAAGCTGAGTTGTTCAAGACTAGTGATGAAATGACCAGTAAGTCACTATAGCTAAATGTTCAGACAAGGGCATGCTATAAAATTCACACAGAAGCCCAGGTCAGAGGATGCTGGAAGCTCTCTGGGTTCAGTCTCCCTTGGACTCCAGCTTGGAGGTTCTGACAAGAAGGGTTCATCAGCGAACTCGCCCAAGTTTCTCCCAAAGCTTGCTAGGGTGCCAGGTACTTAGCCTTGGGGTTAAACAGCCTGTGTCCCACACCGAGGTACCCTGGCTCAGGCTCCTGACTCCAGCTTCCTGCTAATGTGCTGTGCTGATGACTCAAGGGAGTGAGTAGGCCCCTAACATCCACATGGAAGGCCTGGCCCAGCGCTGGCTGTTGTAGCCACTTTCAGGAGTGACCCAGTGAATGGAAGATTTGTGTCCCTATCTGTCATTCAAATAAAAAAAAAAAGAATAGGACCCACACAATGGCTCAATTGGCTATTCCTCTATCTTCAAGTGCCATGATCCCATATGGGCGCTGGTTCATGTCCTGGCTACTCCACTTCCAATCCAGTTCTTTGCTTATGACCTGGGGAAGCAGCAGAGAATGGCCCAAAGACTTAGACCCCTACAACCATGTGGGAGACCCCGAAGAATCTCCTGATTCCTGGCTTTAGATCAGATCAGCTCAGCTCTGGCTGTTGTGGCCATCTGAGGAGTGAACCAGCATATGGGAGTTCTGTCTCTTCTCTCTGTAAATCTGTCTTTCCAATAAAGATAAATCTCAAATTTGTTAAAATCAAATCACCAAAGAAAGAAAAAAGGAGAGAGCCTGGTGGAAATTTAAGGCTCCGTGCTTGTGAGTGAAAAGTATTGTGATTCTGGATAATCAGTCTGGGCTCTAGTATGGTGATAATAGGCACAGTAGATGTGTCAGATCGGCAAGAGTCACGGCTGCTTACAGGTGAGATGCCCAGGGTGGAGGAAGTCAGAATAATGCTCACTGCTGGGGGACACGAAATCTGGGTGCTCCAAGCCACAAACCCCTGTCCGCAGAAAGCTACCCGCTGCACGGCGGGTGTGAAGAGCAGTGACAGGCAGAGTGGCAATCTTTCATCTGCTGGTTCACTCCCCAGATGGCAGGAGCAGTGAGGCCCAAGACAAGAGCCAGGACTCAATCCAGGTTTCCCACCTGCGTGACAGGGATCCACCAAGTACGTGAGTCACCTGCCCCTGCCTTTCCAGGCACCTTTGCAGGAAGCTGGATGGGAAGTAGTGGACCCAGCAGGGGCTGGCAGCACTAATGATGGCTGAACCCACTGTACCCAGCGGCTGTCTGGGAGGGCTAGTTTCCATGTCTGGGCTTGGGGAGGCTCCATGTGCCCACAGCACAGTCCTTGTCCAGGGTCTGGGTGTGAGCCCCTTGCTTCCTTTACTTTTTATTCCATGTAACACACAGTTTGGGAAACTATGGCTCATCCTGTTTCCTAATAGCTCTGCATCTTGCTGGGATTCTTAGATGGAAAAAGCTGAAACTAAGGATAACTTTGAGCTGGAGAGGATGATGGCAGGAAGCTGTGACACAGTGCAGACCACACTGAGGAGCAGGGAGACTGGGACCCCTGGTGGGAACAGCCCAGCTGTGCCCCATGTACACAGCAAAAATGTTCTTGTCCCAGCCCCCCGACTGCAGCCCTAGGGGGCAGTCATTTTGTTGGTGGTCTCACTGGCAAGAGCCTGAATGTGCCATCCACGTGTCCCAGGGACCAAAGCCTGGAGATGCATTTTTCATCAGCCCCTGAGGCAGGCTGTTATAGACGTCAGGTTCCTGGCGATGACGCAGTTCCTTCTTTTTCTTCCATCTACCTATTCACTTCCTGGATGGCTGTGATGGTCAGGGTTGAGCCGATCCAAACCAGGAGCCAAGAACTTCTTCCAGGTCCCCCATGTGGGTGCAGGGTCCCAAGGCCATTCTCTACTGCTTTCCTAGGCCACAAGTAGAGCAGCCAAAACACGAACTGGTGCCCATACGGAATCCCAGTGTGTGCAAGACAAGGACTTAGTCATGAGGCTACTGCACTGGGCCCTGTTAAGGGGTTTTTAAGCGACAGTCATCCAGTCAACTAACAGAGCCCTGGTACTTGATGGGAATCATTCATTCACTCAGCTTACACTGACGCACACTACAAATTATCCAGTCAACTGCAGTGGCATGGGACACAGATACCCAATTAGTTTAAGCAGCATGCACTCTAAGCTATCCAACCAGTAAGAATTGCATCCCACCTAGGAGCGAACAACAGAACCAGGCAAACAGGTCCTTCCATGTACAGAGACCAAAGCAAGATCTCATCCTGGGATGGGACATTGCCGTATGGTCAGCACCCTCACTCCCCTTTCGGGACTTTCTAAGAACCCAAGGTGATGGCAAGGGTCAGTTATGGACATATCCTAGAAATGTTTCAGAAGACCTAGCCTTGCTGTCACCATTTTCCATTGTCTGGACTGTCACAGAGCCAGGAGTTTCCTTTGGATCTCCCACATGGCAGCAGGGTCCCAAGGCTTTGGGCCATCCTCTACTGCCTTCCCAGGCCACATTCGGGGAGCTGGGTGGGAAGTGGAACAGCCGGGACATGAACCAGTGCCCATATGGGATACTGATGCTTGGAGAGGGAGGATTAGCCAGTTGAGTCACTGAGCCTGGGCCAAATCTGTTCTCTTTGTAGTGTATATCCTATAATGTAGTATCTGCTTTAATTCCTGATTTCAGTTCCCTCCCCACCCCAAGTCTAACCTCCTGGGAGGCATCAATGATGGGGCAATTAACTGGGCTCCTGTTATCCACGTGGGAAACTCTGAGTGCCCGGCTCCTGGCTCTGGGGTGGAAAAATAGACACTCTGACAAAGGAAACAAGGCAGGGAGCACATAGGTGCCAAAATGGGTTATTTACTCCCATTTCCAGGGCTACTGGTGGCAGAACTGAAACTGAACCCTCCCTGTGTGAGATGAGTGGAAGGAACTCAGAGAGCCTGAGGTGGCAGGACAGGTGGGGTCCGCACTCAGCTGTCATGGGCACGATCCTGTCTTTTCCTGGGTGGTGGTGTATTTCTCTACCCCCACGTGGCCACGGTCACACACCCTAATGCCAGAAGCCGTTTGACCAGTTCCCGAAGCACCACGCACCGTGTACCACCAGGTGGCGCCAAGAGGTCACAGCGTCTGTTCTCGGGGATCCTGGGATCCTTTGTCTGCGGGCCTGGGGCAGGAGTGGGGCTCCTTCGTGGAGCTTCCACTGGGGGCCTTGTGCTTTGCCAGCACATTTCCCACAACCTAGAGAGGAGGCGGGACACAGCGCTCCAATCTCCTGATAGGGGACTTGGCCAAGGCCATACTCCCAGCTGGGTCTGAAATCCAAGTCCCACCTGTAGGGTGGTCCTGGGTGCTTTTAAGAGGTCCTTTTTTATTTATTTGAAAGGGCAGAGTTAACAGAGAGATCTTCCATCTGCTAGTTCATTTCCTAAAATGAATGAAGTAAGGGCTGAGTAAGGCTTAAGCTAGGAGCCAGGAACTCCATCTGGGTCTCCCACATGAGTGGCAAGGGCCCAAGCACTTGAGCCACTTTGCGATGCACACTGCTGCACACTAACAGAGAGCTGAATGGGAAACAGGGTAGCCAGGACAGGGTACCAGATGTGGGTATCCTTGGCCACAGCACCTGCCCCCGCTGGCCCACCTACCTATTATCCTGGCGGCTTCCGCCATCCTCTGAAGATCGCTAAGCCTGGCTTACAGAGCAGGGGGTGTTATTTCACGAAAGGCCAATGGCCTAAGATCCCAGCTCCTTAAATGGCAGGGCCCAGATGGGCACCCAGGTGCCTGAGCCTTCTCTTGTCCCTGGAACCCCCCAAACAGGGCCACTTTCATCACCTGCTGAGACATAAAGAGCAGGGCAGGAGGGAAAGGGGGGCCTGGGGAGACCCTGAAGAGGAGGGTGGAGCCCCAAGTGCCAGACAAGCCTTGCAGGGTTAGTATGAATGTGCTGTATAAATATACCAGTTAAATGTGTGTTACAGAAGTATGTGTTATGTATGTGACAGTGAATACCTTACGTAAATGTGTGCATGTTATATAACTACATATGTATTATACAAGTGTGTTAAATGTGTTGTATAAGTGGGGTGTGAGTGTGTGTAACTTGAGTGTGTATTATGTGTTGAGTGTGTCATCCAAGTGTCTGTGTGAGACGCAGCATCCGTCCCACTCTGGGACTCTGTGCCCCAGTGCCCCCTGCTCCCCTCCCCCGGCCGGTGTTGGGTTCAGTAAGCAGAGCCTAGCTCACCTGGGCAGGTGCTGAGTGAGGAGGGCGTCTGGTTACAGCCAGGGCTGGGAGCACAGGCAGGGGCAACCTGGGGACTAAGGGAGGGGCAGGTATCAGGAGGAAGCTCCATGTCCCCCAGAGACCCTTGCCGGGGGTGACCTGTGGCTGGGCACTTGGACTCCTTGCTCCTCCTCCCTGCTCTTCTTCTTCTTCTTCTTTTGAAAAATTTATTTTATTTTTATTA